TTGTCTGCTCCAAGTTAACACAAGTGTTGTATCACAGACACACCTGTATTACAACACTTTTTTCTTCTAAACAAGTCTGACATAAGAACTACTTTCAACTCCTGCATTAAACACATTAATACACAATTCTGACATAAAAGCTTCTTTCAACACATTAAAACACAGACCTTTTTCTAATGGGTAATTCTTGACAAGAACTGCTTCCAACATGATAAAATTGCAGGAGAGGCAATACAGTACAGTAATGTACCTAAGCACAGCAATACCTTCGTAAATTTTTGGGAAAAGACATTGAATGATGCTTATCATCTTGAAATATTGTACTGGTACTGTACCTGTGCTGTAATAATGCAAGAGAGGTAAGAGATGCTACACTAGTGCCATTTTACAGCTATTTGACGAAAATTTCAAACAAGCAGACTTCATAGATAGCTTACAGCAATGACAAAGATAAGTGATTTTTTTTTACTCCAACACAGAAAACACACAGTTGCCAATACAAAAGTACAAAATATTAGTTATTCTATGAGATGCAGAAAGTTCATCCTAAGATCAGACACAAGATATGCATACCTAACAATGTACATTAAAAATTAAAAACAATATTGAAAACAAAGCCTGATGTTTGAAAATTCCTTAACATGTTGAAAGAGATATTGGCACACTCAGATGTGATCACATCTTTAGATCGCAAATGGTTCTGGGTCGATTAGGGTAGACAATTGACTTGAGATGGCACCACAAGTAAAAGTCAAGAGGCGTAAGGTCTGGAGACCTAGGTGGCCAAGTAATGGGTCCCCACTGTCTGATCCCCATGAATGGCCATCTAGGTCTCTAGACTTTTACTTGTGGTGCCATCTCGAGTCAATTGTCTACCCTAATCGACCCAGAACCATATGTGATCTAAAGATGTGATCACATCTGAGTGTGCCAATATCACTATCAACATGTTGAGGGACATTCAAAGAACAGGTTTATAACACATCAGAAAGTGTCTCCAAGAAAATGACAACCAATTCGAACATTTATACTGTAATTTAATAAATATACCAATGGTTCCTGATTTTTGCCGCAACCTGTATATATACTGCACACCTGTACTGTACATGTACAGTATATACTGTACACATGCTGTAGAAAGGTAATACTGAATGATAGATAAATATATTTCTCCATAAAAGATTTTATCATACCAAAGACATACTGTACATGTATAACACTGTACAGTACGATACTTTCATCTGGAAACGAAGGTCAAAACAAATTACTACTAGAGACAATCAAGCATTCATAAAGACAAGACCACAGGACATTTCTATGATCGTCAAGCAATGGAAATACAAGTCACATAAATCACTATGGAATATGATAGATGTATTAAAATTGTCAAAAAATTTCATACTGCATCTCATGTAATATAAAGTACAATTTGAGCCCAGTGTTTCCTACTAATGTGTATTATGTGGTCATGAGTGTCTTGGACAACATGTTCCCGAGAAAAAAAAAAATCTAGTACAAAACATTCATGAGTGAATTGTTCCAAGATCTTCTGCACTGTAAAACTTCATCAAGTTTTGGAAAGTAGAGTTAGACTGCTTGACAATAACCGTACATAGAAGTACCGGTAATAACTAAAGAGTTGGAAGGACAGAGCCGAGTCATTGAAAAGGAGTAAACAAGATAATGGCAAAGTCAGAAGCACTAGAACCATGCAACTGTTCTAGTTATACAGTAAAGACCCCGAGTACCAGACTAATTAAGCCACAGTGATGATGTTATTCAGAAGGAATCCGTTATTTGGACGTTCATACCAGCAGGGAGGCACAACTGTTCAAAACATCAGCCAGCATAGTACACTAACACAAAATGGCATATTTAAGCTCCTAATGAACTAGTTCATATAAAATAAGCATACTTATATAATAAACTTTCAGGAAATTCAGTTGTTTATTATTTAAAGTGTTTATAGATGTAGGTAAGGTTATAGATTCTAGAATGTGTGTGTATATGGGATGGATGGCCTTGTGCAGTGTGAGATAAAGTGGATGATGTGGATGTGTACAGTATACCGTATATACTGTACTACTCAAATAAGTTCAAATCCTTCATTATTCTGTATTGTTGCGATGAGGGCAGGGCTGGCAGGACCATGTAGTCCCCAGTAATACAATGACCCACAAGATACCAAGATAATTATATTTTTTAGATTTTTTATTTCCAACATTCGTGTCCTTACTTAGATATGTGGTACATGGGGTGTTTTCTGTATCTCACAATGAAAATTTTTCTTGCCTATATTCACTTAAAACTGCGAAAATTATTGAGAAAGCATAATTATAAAAAATCACATATCCATGGGATAAAAGATGTCACATTTTACAGATTCACCTCTGATGAGTCCTAAGTGTCATTTGATGTAGCCAGTGTTCATTAACTAGAGTCTGGACAGCAGGATGAAGACTGTCCATTCTTTCACGAGGTAACCACTAAAGACTACACATTCACTCTATTATATCTACAAAGAAAAACATGTGATGGTACATCCACTTCTTCACCAAGGAGTTCTTTACCTAATACAAACCAACACAATCAAAAGCATTCTTACCCATCACTGTCTAGAAATGACTATAAATAAATAAATAAATAAATTATATAAATTTAAACTCTATATTGGTACAATATGTATAATCAATGTTTGCATAAAGTACAATTACATTATCACAATAATAAGGTAATGAGCTGAATTGTCTTGCTTATACAGTATCTCCAGTACTGTTTTATTGATCACCCTGACAGACAATGGTCCTGGGAACCAAATTAGACAATTGTTAGTATTGTTTATTGATCTACACAAATTTACTAGATGATTACACTGGTTTCCTTCTGTGCCAATGTGGACAAATGGTGTACAGCATTTCTCCACAATACAATACAGTACAGTAGATCTTTGGTATAATGGAATTCAATACAATGACTTTTATATACAGTACTGTACTGTAATGCAATTACTGTACAGTAATGCCATTTTTTTATTATTGTGCAGTCAATTTCAATATTGGACAGTATAAGCCCAAAGCCAGGTCATAAAACAAAAAAGAATTGAATGAAAAATATGAAAAAGTCATAACTGGTGTTAAACAATGAGAATCACTTTGAATGAAGCTTTTTAACCCCCTAGGTATGAGGGGGGTCTGTGCTGAATAAAATTGTCTGGTGTTAGCCAAATAAGTTATTAAAAGTAGCATCCAGTAGTGAATGGGTTAAGATTGTTTTTAATGAAAAAACAAATCGAATGAAAAGATAATATGGAAATGGCAGAAATTATGTGAAACTTAAAAAAAAAATGTTGTCATTTACTTCAAATAAAGACATAGAGCTCCAGTGATATTCACACATTGCTTCCCCCTTTTAAAAGCTTTTAACACATCCATTTTCACATCTGAACTAACACTTCCCTTTGTATCTATTGTACATGACAACATTCCTACTGTCTACAGTACTTGCTCACTCTTATAAGTTTCTGTTCTCATATTTCATATTAGTGGCAATTCTGGAAAAAAAAAAGGGGGGGGGGGGTTCTAATAATTTAACTTGTATTAGTAGCTGCTCTATTGGTCAAGTATTGTCTCTGTGCTGAACAAAATTGTCTGGAAATAACCAAATAAAAACTTAGAAGTGACATCCCATATTAAAGGGGTCAAAGAAGCTCACCCTCTGTGCTGTCATTTTGCACTGGCAGGTTATTATAATAGTTTACAACTCCTACTGTCACAGCAATAAAGTTTCTCCTGCCCTCAACAGATGGCGACACAGGCTGTTGAGTTGTCTGTTAGTACTGGTTAGCAGCATATACTGTACACAGATAATGCATAATTCATGACACACCTCATTCTATTGCTCCATCATTCACCTCAAGTCTGAATAACTGCAGTTCAGCAAACAGTTGTTTAAGACTCGCGGTGAGTTCTAATCTGTTTTAAGTGTTCTGAAATTATGGAATTAACGTTGAAGTGAAAAAACTGGCATCTTAAGATTTTTTTTTGCCTGTAGTCTTGTGCCATATATTTCCAAATGAAAACAACATATGCAATTCAATATTGTGCAGCAATTCTCAATCCCACTCTCACATCACATAGAGGGTCTGCTGTACTCCTGAAGATGCACATTTTTTTTTCAACACCAGTAACTGAGTGATGTACAGTGGTCCCTCAGTTAACGAGCGCCTCGGTTAATGAGATTTCGGTTAACGAGTTACCTTCCATAAGATTCTTAACTTCGGTTAACGAGCAATCCCTCGATTAACGAGTTTCTTACGAGCCAACCTGAATATGATTTCGCTTGCATTTGGCGGTCCACCAGCCGTAGTATTAGTCCGCCAATACAGTAATCGGTTCTAGGGCTTAAATTCCTTACCATTTTAGCAAATATCAAGAAGTTTATAATATTCAATAATTTTAAAAGTTTAATATTAAATTTTGTACTCATTTTAACAATTATTGAACATAATTGAAGGTAATGAAACTAGTTTTATGCGTGCCATCCAGCCTCTCAACACACCATACAGGCGTCAGTCTTTGTATCTTTTCAGTGGAGGTAACATCTTGCTTGAGACTCTCCAACTAAATGCTTTTTTTTGTTTTTGCAAGCAAATTATTGGTCATTTTGAAATTTATTTTACATATTGACAATATATAATGCAGTGCAGTGCAGTGTTAATTTAAAGAAAATAATCTTGAATTACACAAAGAGAACTAAAATTTTATGGGTGAAATGGCACTATGGGGTGACTTCTCTTCCACCCCAATGCCTTCTCTTCTCCCTTCTCCACCCCCATTCTAATTCCCATCATCATCATCATCATCGTCCAGGAGCCTTCTACATACACACCTCAAAGTAAGTGTACTTTTCTACCTTTTTAGTTGAATTTAGGCAATTTTCGGTGAGCTGGAACCAATTACCCAAAAACCCATTGAAACAATGGTTTCGGTTAACGAGTTTTTCGGTTAACGAGCAACCTTCTAGAACTGAATGTGCTCGTTAACCGAGGGACCACTGTACAGTACTTCAGTACAAATATCTATATACAAAGTATCTTTTAACATAAATTTCTTGCACAATACAAAAATCTTCACCTAATCACAAGAGTTTATTTTGACACCCTTGCTAAGACAACAATATGCACAGCTACATACTTTAAACAACTTTTCAGGGTGACAATTGACTACCCAGCCTCAATGATGATAATTTTTGTTGAAGAAAGTGATAGGCATCCACATATCCCATCTGATACAAGGCCTCCAAGGCTTCCACTGGTGGAGGGACCAGGGCACGGATCAGTCTCACAACATTGGCTGTGGTTAAGGCCATTTGCTCATTGGCTATATTTATGTAAACAGGTTTCTTTTCCTTGTTCTTTGGAGAAATATCAACTATGCTGTCAAATGGACTAATGGTGATGGCTGGCTGCTGTACCACAGGGAGGTTATTGGTAAAGCCTCCATCCATGTACTTGACTCCACGAAAGGTGGGGAAGTTGAGACCGGAAAACACTGGGATAAAGCAGGAGCACAAGAGACACTGTATGAGCTCTTCTCTTGACTCCCAGCTGGACACCAATATGTTTTCTGCATTGTTGACCTTAGTAAGGGATACATGTAGTCTATCACTTGCCTGTATGTGTGCATCATGAGGTAGGGCTTCTAGGCCCAATTTTAAGTAGTCTTCAATATTGAAGTTGGGGCTGAAGGGGCCTAGTGCCCAATTTTGAGCTTCAGCTGCTGTTTCCATAAAGCTAGATTTAATGGTTTCTAGTGGTACTTTACATACCAAACAAGCTGCTAGGATAGCACCAGCAGATGCCCCAGCCATATTTGTTCTCTCAAAAAGGTTAGGCCAATGTTGCTGCAGACACTCAACAGCACCGAGCTCATAAACACCCAGGAAGCCAGAGCCAGACAGCGACACACAACCTCCCCTAAAATGTACCAACACCCATCAGACTACCAGATGTTACTGTACTACTTAAAATATATATTGTTAACAGTAGTAATGTCATATACTGGGTCAAAACTTAATAATATAAAACACTACCTATATATCTTTAGCATGATTTTAAAGACTAAAGAATTGGTACAGTGTATACACATTGAAAATTATTTTTTTATTACTGAATTTAATATGGTGTGGGTGTGTGTGTGTGAAGCAGAAACACTCCAATTACTGTATAAGCCTCATAAGGAGATTACAATATAATATTTATTGACAAGCTAGAATTTTTTTTATTAATTGAAAATTGCATGCAATACAAAATCCATATGGGAATAAGTTAATAAAAAAAATGAAACAATTATTTATCTATTATGCTTCAGTTTCCTCCTCTTTCTAAGGAAGCGCAAAGCATCCTCATACCCAAAGTGATAATAGTGATTTAGTATGTAGGGAGGTGGAGGCATCAAAGTCCTATACAGACGCACCACATTAGCATAGGAGACATCCATGCCATGGTTGGCCCACTTCAACTGACCCAAACCTTCATATTCTCTGGGTGAGATGTCTGCATAACCACTGTAAGGACTAATGGAAACAGCATTAGGAACAACTATAGGCTGTTTGTTAGTGTAGCCACCATCTATATATCTTTCCCCACGAATTGTAGGTGGATTTATTCCAGAAAAACCCATGATGAAACATGAACATCGCAGAGTCTGAATGAGCTCTTCCCGAGACTCCCACTCAGAGAATATTACATTGGACATGTCATGCAACCGAGTCACTGATATGTGGAGTCGGCCACTTGCTCTGATATGAGCATCATCAGGCAAAGATTCCATCCCTGCCTTTAAGTAGTTTTCAAATTTAAATCCTGGGGTAAAGGCTCCCATTTTCCATTTCCTAGCTTGAATGGCAGTACGAAGAAATACAGATCTGACACCATTAAGAGGAACATCACACACCAGTGATGCCCCGAGTAAGGCACCAGCTGAAGCTCCCGATATAATAGCACTGCTTACGAATCTTGGAGAGTTGTCTTTCAGGCAGTCCAGTGTTCCTATCAGGTACACCCCTAAGAATCCACATCCAGACAGCGATATACACGATTTCCTAAAACACGGTAAAAAATAATAATTTCGTACTTATCGAGATAAAGGATAATGTATTTCCACACTTGATTTAACCCTTTTGCTGTTTTAAGTGACTAAAACTGGAAATTTGAAAAGCGAATTTGTTCACTGAAGCAAAACATGTCAAAGATCATTTTAAAAATCTGAAGTTGTATGTTCCTCATTTCACTTTTCTAAACGGAGAAAATATGATCAGTTCCCATTTCAAAATGTCACATTAAATCCAATAAGCATCTAACAGCATTGGTTAGGTAACAGCTGTACAGTAACAGTCAATAAATACTATATGTACTGTACTGAACAACTTTATCTCTATAACAATGCAGTACTGTACAATCATACACTTAACCATACATCATCTTTGTGTTCTCCCAGTTTTCCCCAAACTTTTCAGTGCACTTACAGTATTCCTATTCTCCTGAACAAAGTAAACACTTGCTCACACTTTCTTTCCTCCATTAACAAAAATACTGCCACCCTGTCCTTGTGAAGCACCACCCTGTCTTTGTGAAGCACCAGCCTGTCTTTATGAAGCACCAGCCTGCCCACATACTATCATACATCCACTCATCAGTGTAGCAACAAGACAGATACCCAGCTGATGATCACATTCAAATATTCAGGCTGCTTGTTTGTTATCAATGTAAACAGATATTTTATAAATTTCACAAAAAGTCAAAGGGAATTTTTTTTAGAAATTAGCTCTTTAAATGCCAGTGCACGCCTCAGTCGTTTACACTGACCACACTTCCACTTATCCATTTGAATTCTGCCCTGCCCCCTCCCCTTTTCCCCAAACATGGAGTCTGATACATTATATGCATATACAGGTATACTGTACAGTACTGCACACATTTTCCATAAAATTCCCTGTACTGTACCACAAAACATTGTGAAATATTAAGATTTCACTATTGTATACATATACAGTACAGTATATTCAATGGCAATCCTTAGAACTGTTATGTTTCAAGGGTCCCAAGGCCAATGGCCACACTTCACTAAAGGAACCAGCCAGTGTAAGTTGGCGGCCCTTCACTTGAATATTGTGAAGTCTTACATTAATCCCTCATCAAGTCTCTGGACAGACAAATTTAATCCAAATAGACACAAAAGTAAGCCTAATAGAGTTGCCATAGAGTAGTCACCCTACTTTATGCAGCACTGAACCTGAATCACTGCAACCACTGTTCATGTTTCTACATATTCCAGGGTTGTAACTGGGAGTTTTTTCAAACTAGCTATTTCTGTAAGTAAAGAGCCACACAGCTCTGCTGCTGCTCCACAAAATGGCTATGCATCTATTTGTGAATAAATTTGTCAAATATTATGGCATTTCAAAAGAAAATAAGTCAAACAACAAAACATTCAAAGTAAAGATACATATGAACTGAAACACATCTGTGAAAAATTATCGGTGTTAGGGACTGCCAAATGTCTGCACTTTGGCTTACAACTCAGCATATCCTTTTACCAAATCCATCATAAATGTTTTGGTAACTTCTTATTTACCACATCATGAACTCTCAAATTATCACATTTCCAGTTTTGGTAAAAAAAAAGTACGTACAGTACATCACTTAAACTGTGGAATACCGATCACTGAAAATTCTTAACAAGAATGGTTTTTATTATTTATCTGGCATACGCCCTAAAGCCACGCAGTTCTTGTAATGTACAGTGTTTACTATGGTGCTAGGATTTACATTCTCTTCCCCATAATGCAAGCCAACGTTCAATAGTTTAACCCATACAGCATGGAAAAATTACTAGAGTGGATATGATGATAAAGAGATGATGACAGGGTATACTGTACCCACCACCTTCTTCACAAAATAAGGGGGAATAGGTGTAACAGTTGCCCTCTTGCAGCTGGCATGTCTTCTGTGAGCTGAGCCTGTCCAGGCAGTGTGTTCTATGCCAAAATTATAATTGGGATCTTCATAATTCAGAAACAATCCGTCAATCAATACAGTTCCAGTTTACCTTCCTCCAGGACTCTAATTATATTTTTCATAACTACAGTGGTCCCTTGGTTAACGAACACAATTCGTTCCACAGAGTCATTCGTTAACCGAAAATTTTGTAAATCGAATCCATTGTTTCAATGGGATATTGGGTAATTGGTTCCATCTCAAAGAAAAGTACATCAAAGTAAAAAAAATATGCAGTAAAGTACACTTACTTTGAGGTGTGTATGTAGAAGGTTCCTGGTTGATGATGATGATGGGAATTAGAAGTGGGGTGGAGGAGAAGGGAGAAAAGAAGGAAGTGGGGATGGAGGAGAAATCACCTTTCAGGGGACCCATGCTTGATGCCGTCATTTCACCAACAAACTTTTAAGTTTACTAGGTGTAATTCAAGATTATTTTATTTAAATCAACACTGCACTGCTCTATATATTATCAATATGTTAACTAAATTTCAGAATGACCGATAATTTCAATGTAAAAATGCAAAAAATATTCATGACACCAACAAAATAGATGTTCACTCCATTTTCAACAAAGCCACACTGACGCCTTGTGGCTGATGGGCGCACAAAATGCTAGTTCCCTGTACTGCATATATTATCAATATGTTATGTAAATTTTAAAATGACTAATAATTTTAATATAAAAAATGCAAAAATATTAAAGAGCACAACTTTCTTGATATTTATTCCACTGGAAACAAATGTAAATATAGAACAGATTACTGAATTGGCAGACTAGTCCATCAGCTGATGCTCACAACAAAACGTGTTGTTCGTAAGGATTTCGTTAATTGAAGTTTTGTTTGTTAACCGAATTGAAGATCCTTATGGGAGGTAATTCGTTAACAGAAATTCCATTAATAGAACCATTCGTTAAGAACATAGGAATGGAGGAAACTGCAGTGGGCATATTGGCCCATACTGGGCAAACCCATTTACAACCAACCCCTATTGCTCATATATCTGTCCAACCTATTTTTAAAGCTACCCAGCCTGTTTGAGTTAATGATGAAGTTCCGTAACTTGTTCCGCTCTTCCACTTATCTATTTCCAAACTGATGTTTACCTATCTCACCCCTAAATCTAAATTAGTCTAATTTAAAACCATTGCTGCGAGTTCACTCCTGGTTGGACAATTTAAGTACCTTAAGTAAAAGCATGCAGTCCTAGAACCCATCTTTTATTAAAAAAATAAAGCAAAAGTGAAAATTTATGATATCTGTACAAAGCTCTTATGCAAAGTAACCATTGACGGCTTTTGTTTAAATTTCTACACATTTGTATTAAATGGGCTCAATAATTATGATAAAAAGCCTCCTGGTTTTATGTCTCGTGGACTTTGCTTCTCACCCTGCCTGAAGCATTAGTTGATCTTGCCTCCTTATGAGTCATAATTAAACTTACATGTATACAGGTAGTACAATTCTTTAACATCTTGTTATGACTACAAGTACAACATTGAAATTTTTAAGACCAACATTCCAGGTAGAGAAAAAGTACTTCCAGTGAGTCCACAAAATTTGGCACAATGGATGTTTAAGCCCTACAATGCACTACACCTTGACAAGATTGTTTCCAAGGCACGATAAGATAAAAAGTCAAACTTCCTAACCTACTCCTCTCAGATTACCATAATTCAGGTTCACATGCTGTTAGCCTCAATCCTATTGGTCCACATAATCAACACCCCACTGCTATCTTATCTACCTTTAACATTACAGTTATGGAGATCAACAACAACTGATATGTTTGGGAAAGATTTTGTATGCATACAGTACCACCAAACTCCGAAGGTAAAAAAATTGTATTCTGCAGTACAGTAGGATGATAAAGAGCTTTTTAACTTGAATATCATTAAGGTAAAGAAGAAATAGTGACTGATGTACACACAGCACATACTGTACTACTATTCAGCAAAAGAGTTAAATCACACGAAAATTAATGTTTAATAAAAAGATATCAGCAAGCATTACTGTATTTCTATTAACTAATTTTCAACGCCTAATGATGGAGCATGTTAAAAAAATATTCTTTCAATATCTGTTACTATCTTATTAGCAGAACATATCTCAATAGCAGAATATTAAAACTCATTTTCCTAGTAAAAATAATAACACTAGAACTTCAGGAATAGCAAAAAAAAAAAAAAAATATTGCAAACACCAAATGCTACTTGTTCCAGGAAATGGGGCATGCCACGGATATCAATAATGAGTTAGGAACATAAATGAGTCCTAGGAGGATGTACAGTACGAGTAAAGTAAGCAAACGTCAATTAAAAAGACCCACATTTATGATTGACTAACGTAAAAGTGGTGGCTCGGGGGTTCTTGGGGCCCAGGGTAAGAGTGTTATTTGGGGCACCTTAAAAGTTTGAATTTAATGACCAAAAAAAAAAGTCTGGCATTTCTGATCTAAATTCCACCTTACTCTATCCATGAAGCTTCAATAAAAGTACAGTATCACAATACATTGATTGTAATTAAAATCAACTACAGTCTCTCCTCGACTTACGACAACCCAGACATATGACGGCCATAATCGTATAAAATATTTTTCACATTACGTATTTTAGAGTCCCGACGTTAGTGATCACGCTGTGTACTGACAAAATTTTCGTTTGTAATTCCCTTTAAAATGGCTGGCAAGCGTAAAAGTGAGAGTTCTCGTGGTGCCGAGAAGAAAAAAAAAGACACCCATTTTAGAATTTCTATGTATTATTTTTGCCTTTTTAACTTACGGCCAATTCGACTTACAACCTGGTCGTTGGGACGGAACCCAGTCGTTAGTCGAGGAGAGACTGTACATGTGGAGGAGAAAATATTACATAACACAATATAATATCAACATGACAATCTAAAGTTTTAAACACAACAAAATGCCATTACATACCTAAAAATGAAAGCTCGTACTTATGGAGAAATCAAGAAAAAAAAAGGAGCGCATTACAGGAAATCCTCCTTGATTTATCTATCATAAAACTGAAGAAAATCCCCATTAATGCTGTCCTTCATTATTTGACCATAATTACAGGTATTAGGACAACAGGTCCACCATTCCATACACATCAAAACAAAAAATAAAACCAGGGTAGCATGTCAACAAAGTTCCAGAACTCTGATAAAGTTTACATATAACATGCTACAATTGCTAAATGTCAATCACATCCATAAAATATATTCTCCAGAAGATTTACCAGGGGTACTGTTATGCAAAAATGTAGCAACAGAAACACTTAGGAGTTTAATTTTTTAGTTTAATGTCAACACGGAGTGCACTGAATTTGTCCACAGAGTAATATAGGTAACCCTATGGATACAATGACAATCCCTTCACTCGTTTAGTACAATAAGGTAACCTTTTAAGTTCAGCACAGTAAAATGATAAATTCCCTCAAGTAAAATGTCATAATTCTATCATACTCTTGTGGATAATTGCTGAAATTAGTCATAGCATATATTATGAGAACATGTATCTAAGTTTGGTATCTGTAAGGGGAGACAAACATACTGTAGGTCTAATATGACCGGTAGGTAAAAACCGAGAAAAGTATCACTCCCAATACTGTACACACAAAAAAGACCAAAAGGGATGTAATGTTCACTATCTGGAATACCGGGTATGAATAAACTGATGATGATGCAACACAGTACAGATTTCTTGGGGTAAAACAGTTTAAACCAGAGCATATGCAAAGTTGTTCATCACTGACAACATTAAACTGCTGTTTAAGTTTCAATTCATAACTCACTATTTTAAAGAGAGGAATTAAAACACCATGAGAAATTCAGTTATAATATTCATACAACTTTACCCAAAAATATGGGGGGGAGGTGGTCTAGCCTTCTGCTTTACATCATGAATATAATTGCAAGGATTTCTGTATATTGTTTTGTATTTATACTGGGGTTATAAAAATAAAGGTGAATTGCGGGATCCTAAGCCCCAAGAGCCCCGGCCACTCCTGAGAAATAAATACCACCACCAAGTATCTTCTGTGACAACACATTCATTTAAAAGCCCTATTATACAAAGGAAATTTATCAAACTATGTATCCCAAAGAGTGACTTTAAAACTTGTCTGGTGAGCAGTACTGTACCTACTATTATGTAGTGTGAGTGTGGAATGGAGGCTCCTCCCCCTCACAGAGGAGTCCCCCCAGGCAGTGAGGCATCAGTTACAATAAAATGAAAGTTTTACTCGGGTGATCAGTTGTAGTAATAAACCTTTGGGTCTGGGATATAAGAAAATGACCTAACTGCTGGATTATCAATATAGTGTTCAAGCTGTATCCTTGTGATTAAAGTTCTGTTGAGCTAAAAAAAACAATACAATCAGTACTGTAAGATGGGGGGGGGGGGGGGACTTCAGACTAAATTTGAAGAAAAAAAAGTTGAAGAGGTGACAGTTCGTAGACAGTTACAGAGTTACAGCAAGCAAAATTTTATTGGTATCAAAATGTTGCCCTAACTATGTACAGTATTTTCATATGTGAGTATCAATTGCTAGTTTAAAGTGTAAGCAAATAAATAGAAGTCAATAATCAAAATACACTGCACTCTGGCAGGAGCATAACAGAGTGCATAGAGTAATACTGTATAACTAATGAAAAATATTAGAAACCCGTCTATCTTAAATTTTTTTAAACAATCTGGAGTGCTTGATGTATTCTATATACCTGAAAATAAGACTTGAATGGAGGTATGTTAAAAATGTCTTCAACTTGGGGTGACTTCAGACAGCTAAAAAATTACATGGAAGACACAATCCTTATATTATTGTACAATAATGGCATTAGGCATGTTACTGAATACAAAATAATGACAGAACTAATCTACAGCTCAGGAGGTATAACATGAAAGTGTATACAGTACTGAGCACTGGTGCCCCGTAATTATTATTTTTTTTAGATCTCGTAACACAACCAAAGAGCATGTTATTTTCATATACTGTACTGTAATACAATTTCTTAAAAAGTTTTCCCTTCTCTTGACTCTTCTTCCCCTTTTAACCTATATGTGTAATTATGTTGCTGCAGATTTTTGCAGACACCTATAAATCTTCTCTTCATGGAAAACATATACGTACTGTTTTCTGAATTTTTGTTGACAGGTATGGATAGCCCATTAGTTCTTGCATCAATAGCATATTTAAAATAAGCTTTTAGCCTTCAAATTTAAACTGCAGCTAAAAGAAACCTCATACACTGTCCGAAGTCACCCCATCTAATGGTATTCTTATGAACAACTAACTTTTCTAACAAGAATACAAGACACACTTACGTATCCGAGAGCCCATACGCAAGATCCAGCATGTCCAGTTCTTCATCAGTACAGGGGTCTTCTATCATATCAAAGTCCTCCTCCTTGAAAATCAGATGACATGTAGAGCAAGCCAAGGTACCCTCACATGCTCCTGTTGATGTACAATATCATTCAAGCCTACTTCCCATTATACTACAGGGTGGCCAACATCAAGAGCAAATGCACTCTCCTTCACAACAATGCCCCAATTACTGTACTGTATCTCTCTGCCCTGCTGCTGCACACAACCTAAAATCACCCATTAGCAGCAAGTCCATCCCCCAAATCCTCACCATGCCAAGCTCTCTGATCAATTCATGCAAGTTGCTGATACTAAAAAAAAAAAAAAAAAAAAAAAAAAGAAGAGAGGGAGAGAGAAGACACAAACTGTGATACTCTGCTGGTGTACAAGAAGTGGGGAATGATCAGTATAGTCAAAACTAAAAAATATGAAATAAAGAATCTTACAATGCACACAAGGACCTGAATAGGATTTTGGGAGTTCACACACACTGTGAACTCCTGCCACCCATATTGTTCACATGACTGCAATTTTTGTTTTTCAAATTCATAAATTCTACTAAAAACAAACAGCTATTGCAATTCTTAGTACAGTGAATCAAATATGTTATTAGTGGTACAGGAACTTAGAGTAGCTAATGAAAAGGATCCTTTTTAATTGTTTCAATGTACTGTATATTAAAAAGAAAAAAAAATATACACCAACCCCGATACAGGTACAGAACCTTTAAAATAGTATCGTTAGATTTTCCGTCGCTACAGTTTGAAACAGTAGACGAAATTCTTTGATATGATCCCCTTTGCATCATCATAAGTTGGTATGCCAACTCACCACATCAGCGACAGTACTTGTTACTTCAATATACAGTAACAAGAAATCCATTAAGCTGTACAGTACAAATATTAATGTATGTATTGTTTGAAAATATATACAGTATACTCATTCATGCTTAAAGGTCACGGATGTAGAACTTCCAACCATTCAGAAAAAGGTGGAGTAACATTGCTCAGAAAGCTTCAAAACACATTGACCACATGGCTAACGATACATTTTATGGGGGGAACTGTATACAGTATGTATTTCATATACAAAATGTATCCTTGAATTTATTTGTTTATCTTTATACCTTCTGTATATATACAGTATCCTGTACAAAGATACAAGTGTCATTGAAAAGCTTCATTTTTATTGTATACCTGTACAGTACTTGCATTTATTTGTGTATATTTAAATTCATTACCTGTACTGTTCATACAATTACCATTCAATAACTGCAGGGGGGGGGATATTTTTATTACAAAACCACAATGTGGATCCATTCTGCTAAATAATAAATACAGTAGCTACTTCAACTTTCAAAAATAATTTCAAAATGATGTAATATACATTAACTCATGATATATACTGTATATATATATATACAGTATACCCAATCATGACCTACATACAAGGTGTTTCTGTAACCTGCTGGATGATATCAAGAAAAATAAGCTCACCTCTGATAAGAACATTGACTTTCCTTGTATCTCGTTATCACTGACCTTGCAGTACTGTACTACTGTAAAATATTCATTATCAATCATACAGGGTACAATATAATGTACAGTAAGTGTATATTCTTTTCACCTCAATTTATCTGCAGGCTGTCTAGAAAGACATTTCCACCTTTGAATCTGGAGACTTCCTAAAAGAAATCTTGAGAAATATTATCACTAAGTATATTGCTACAGTACAGTAGCTACTACCAATATGTATACAAATTATACCTGTAGGTTAAACGGTTTAGTTATAGCAGAATCAAGAATATTTTTATATTTTTTTATGGAAGATAATAATCAAAGACAACATAAGGTGAAATGTGAAAGCACAATTGAGAGAGATGTATCTTTATCAATACGTATTCAAATTATAATGATTACATTATTGTACTAAGAACTGGATACAGTATATGTTGTACTGCAAATCTGAGAAAGGTTTGGATTTACACATGTAGAGTCTTGTCCAAAACACCTAACTAATACACCCAGTGACCTTATGCCAACACCTGTGTACATGAACTTGTGGCCTGACCTACAGGCATCATACTCACCAAAGCCTTCCAGATCGATGTCATTATTAATAGCAATGTCCAGCAGATTGTCGCCTTCCTTACCCTTCACTGTGAATACTGTTCCATCTGCTCTCTCATAAGTTACCTCATACCTGTCGAAGTATGAGAGTTTCAGATAAAAGCCCAATAAGTACGGTTTTATGATCTATTCAATCTTTTCTACTTCTTCAATGACCTTCTGGTAAGGCTTTAAGGAGATGGTTGCTTGCCTATTTCTTCTTATGAGTACATAACATGTTTACAGACACATTTGTTTTAATGAATATAATGTAAATCCAATGGGGGGGGGGGGAACTGAATAATCATAAACTTGGGTAAACAATGAAGGTTAAGCGTCCCTTCAATGCGTCACCGACGGAGGCTGCATGCAGGACTACACCAATAATTATGGGAGACAACAGATTAGTGTTCAGGATGAAAATTGCAAATTCTCATCATTTTGGGGAATTTTCTTTAGAATTTATTTTTTTCTTTAACATGCTGGTAGTCTACAGAGCCATCGTCTAGATATAAGATCATTATTTTATTTTCATTAATTAGTATGCAAGACACTGCCTTTGCGTGCTCGGGCACGATAAAAAATTATTACTGAAGTTTGTCTAATTTTAACAGAAATGGACTGAGGTTTGGCAACACTTACATGTCCAGGGAAGTTTCTTCCAATAAACTGTTTAATGGTAAAGTTTAAATTTAAAATCACTCCAGTACAGTACTTCAAAACTGAGACTTGAGTGAATATCCAAGAGGACACAAATCATTACTTCTGTACAGTACTATAGTGGCAGCCTTAACCTCATACATCAACTAATTAAAAAATACTAAATAATCAAAAGAAGGTAATTTTTTACAATAAAAAATTATGAAAACAATATTAAGCAAACTTCAACTCGGTCTGTTTATGACATTATCATGTGCTCAGAAAGCATTTGTATATCTTCTACACTAAAATCTCAAGTTCCTGGTTAAAATGTATCTAAAACATCTATCATCCGCAGTGACTACCGTACACATCCAACATAAAGGTCCTTTTACTGAGAATTAAAAGGGATTTTATATATACCAAGTATCATAATCATCAATAAGTAGATAATATTGTGTACCCCTGTAGTCAATAGGGTGCAGTGCCCACCTCTCTCTTAAGGGCACTGAGACTAGGGGGTACCTTACATAATCATCACTTTCTAGATACACTCGGCATGAATTTATCACACAGGTCTTTTCTAAAATAGACTACCAACTAGATTATATAATGTTATTAAAATAGTACACATCTTAAACAACTTACCATTCCTTTTTGGAGTGTGAGGAGGAGGTTGTGGAGAGGTTTTGTGTGGACCCCTCACCCATTCTCCCTAGCTGGGTACTTGACACACCAAGACTTCTCAATAAACTCACCCTGGTAACATTTCTAGCTACTAATCGTGAAAGGGCGAAGGAAAAAGCGGCCATTTCAGCTTGAGTAAGTTGTTCAGTCACGATGACGCGAGTAGCTGGTGATAGATACTCAATTACCCACCAACTACAAGTTCCTCTATCCCATGCCCCACTGAGCTGTTGCATAATTATCGCAATATATTTACAGAATTAACGCATTTTTAGAGCATTTACTTACTACTGTTATATAAAATTAGCTGCCTTATTACATTGTTATATTATTTGTCTATTTATATTATAATTTATCCATTGTAGTATAGGAATCGGACAAAACTATACTGACCTTGAGGTAAGTATGAACCATTGTTAAGATGTTGCAAGCACTAGTGAATCTCTTTATATAACATTTCTTTTATATTGTAGTGTTTTATAAGACTATTACTTGTGTATAAGAGGTTATAAGGGAATACCTAGTTTAGTTCGTATTCCACCTCACTGGCGGTCGAAGATGTCAACAAGTACAGAAAAAGTAAGTTAAAAAACCTCGAAATGTGGTGATTTTTAGGTGTATGACATAAGTATAAGTCGTATAAGCTCATATATATGTACATGAGAAATAAATCCCTCATATTTGTTTGTATTTTTATAAATTTTATGTTAATTTGTTGTGTTAGTCTGCATGTTATAGTTGCCATGTAAGTAATTTTGGTCACTTGTCTGTAAGTTACTAATGTGTAATTGGATATATATTGCATTTTTTTTACTGAAAAATTAATGATACCATTATGCTAGCTTAAGAAATGATACTCAAGTTAAGGTTTACCAAATAAAATGATTAGACAATCATATTACACTTGTCCGGTCTTTTACATGTATCAGTTTATGATGTTTTGTATAATTTCTACCCCTGTGAAATATCTACTCCTTTGCTCAATAGTATGAACAAAACGGAGGAAAATGCAATTGACAGCTAGCAATGTTATTTTTACTATAAGCTACATATACTTCTATTCAACCAGCAATAACTAAAATCACTTACCACCACTTAGAAATTTCATATAATGCCGGGCCGGGCGGTAAAATAGCTCAAGGGCTATTAATCAGGGTCACCTGGTAAAATAGCCTATAATTGTATACAGCAGGGTTTATTGTTTTATCGACTATATACCGATATCTAACCTAATTTAACTGAATGTAACCTAACTTGGTTAGGTTCGGTATATCATCAATATAAAAGTTAAACAAACATGCTGTATATAATTATGCTATTTTACCAGGTGACCCTGATAGATAGCCCTTGAGATATTTTACCATCTGACCCGGCTCAATAGCCACTTACCCTTAAGACACCGACTCGTTAGAAGGAGCAATTTTATGAAAAATTTCTGTAGAAGAAGACAGTTAGCACTGGAAGTAACTTATGGGTTTGAACCAAAATTTCAAGAGATACTATTTGCATGATACTGAACATAAAAATGGAAGCAAGAATGCACAGAACCTATTAGAACCTGACCTAACTTTACCTAACCTGTTTAACCCTGCCTAACCTGTTTAACCTTACCTAACCTACCAGACCTCACCTAACTTCCTAACCTGTGCATGAGATCATCTTTTGTTTCATAACATAGCAGACTATGTAAATCAAGACAAGGTCATCACAGGAGATCCGAAGGTGCCATAATTACAGTAGATATTTTATTTTTTTCATCTACAAAGGACGTAGAGGCGTAAAGTTACTGCCATATGATCAGTGTGTGCAGTGTTTTTACCCCATTATTTCCCTCTTCTTTCATGCCCTGCCTACTAACAATAATTTATGATCGAAAGAGAAGATTAAAAAAATAAAATAAATAAATAAAAAATTTGTCAATTTGATTTTATTACTCGGTATCATCCAAAGCAACATAACCTTAAAATTTTGTGCCGTTCCATAAAGTCGTTCTGGTGCTAACCATCTCCTCCACCTTTACCAAACTTGGTAATTATTCTGACAATTAACTACTGTACTTGAGTAAAATGATTGAAATACTTGTACTTGAGAGATTAAGCTCTCATACTCTTGGGTTTATAGAAGTCTGATCCAAGGGGTTAGGTTAGGTTTATCAGCAAGAAATGAGTAGCCATGACCTGTAATATCAAAAAGTAATGCCTTAGAAAAAAAAAATTGTTTTCATGGTATTAGGTCATGTATACTGGTCACCAGGGTCTCGAATGTTTGTTCAACTGCTCACGTTCCAAGCTGTAATTGATAACATGGTGGTACAGCATTAACAGATGTACAGTATCTCTCACAACTATGTCATGGGTTTGGGTCGTGGTCTGAGACACATTTGAGAAGGGTGTTAACTCAGGTTTCCTTCTGTACTAGCACTGGCAATGAAGTTCATAATAAAGTACTGTAACACTGAGCAGACCAACCACCTAAAAGAGTTAATAAGCTGAAAAGTGGTGAAGTTATAAATTACCGTTATGTATAAAATTACAGTGCTTATAGATTTTGATCATCTGTTGTAAAATTTCTTCATCAGAGATACACACGGAAATTATGCAAGGAAACCTTGGGTGTGGACAAATACCAAGATATGTGTACTGTACAGTATTAGGTAAAATAACAGTGGAGCCCTAACTCAAGGATATTCAGTGTTAGGTTTCAGGGCAGTATAATTTAAAAAATACATTATCCTAATTTACAGGTGACGGAATTACGTGAGAGAGGAAATGAATGTGTCCGTGCTGGTAATTATGCCGAGGCAATAATACACTACTCGCATGCAATCAAGATAGATAGTTCGTCGCCACAACTCTACAGTAATCGTTCCTATGCTTTTCTCAAGCTTCAACAGTACTACCATGCCCTTGAAGATGCTAATGAAGCTATACAACTTGACCCTAAGTGGGCAAAGGTAAGTTGTTTTAAATATAATTGCTCTGTATTTGTATAATGAGAAAAAAAAAAAAAATATTCCCATCAATTTTAATGAAAATCTAGTTATCTCACTGTAGATAATTGCTAATTTACTTAGGTTCCTCCTAAACAAAGGTCCTGTAGGCAATTTGTCTGTTCAGTTCTTCTGTTGCTATAAAGATGGTACAGTATCTGAAACTTGAGAAATTAGCTTGTGAAACTCAAAAATGGTGAAATCAATTCTATTGTACAGTACTGTACATAATTGGTTATTACTAATTACTGTACATGTACAGCACAGTACTGTACTTAAATTTCAAACTTTTTAACCCACGTCCATAATCATATTGGGGATTACCTATACTGTGCTGTGCTGTACTATACTGTATGTTATTTCTCGCCAGGGATACTTTCGTCGAGGAGAAGTCGAATTTGCAACTAGTCATTTTGCTGAGGCGTTGGAATCCTACCGTCGTGCTTCCCAGCTGCAAAATGACCCCACCTTACTGGAGTGTGTTTTGAGAGCTAACAGGGAGATGACTCGCCAGCAGAAGGTAAGAAGGATGTAAGGCATACTAGAAGCTTTTACAATACATTTTTTACAATACAGTATTATATAGCATCATCAATGAAAAAAAAATTATGGATAGAGCACAGCTATAGTATATTGAGGTCAAACCTAAAACTAATTAACATAATAATTTATGTGGATTATCAGGAAGTGGTGTAGGTGGTATTGGGTTAGAATTAATGTATAGGTTATAAGTAATATTGTCATAAACAATACAGGACAGTGCTATCCTTGTTAGCCAGGATAATTGGTGCAGAGTGGTTCCGGGGTTGATAGATTTCTGGGTATGGAGACAAATTTTCTCATCCTTGGAAAAATTTGCACATCACTAGAATTTTTCCGAGTCCTCGGAAATGTTTTCTGAGAGTCAAAGCTATGCATCTCGCACAGACAAACACAGAGCTGTATTAATTATGCAAGCACAAATGTACATGCACAGTATACAGGTATCCCTCCTTTAGTGTTAATTCGCTTAATGTTAATTCAATTTGGCGATAAAAAATGTTTGACTCCCTTTCACACTTAACGTTAGGTCAAATTTGGTTTAGTGATGGGAGAAAGCCCGGGGATGAGCTAACAAAGGCAACATGCCATCTCATGATGGCATGTTGCCTTTGTTACATGTAATGAAACTATAGAAGTTGTGGAAAAATCATTACAATGCTGTACACTAATGTGGTACTTGAAATAAAGAAAATATAATATAAAGCTATAAAATAAGAAAAATGAAGAGCATGGGTGTGTATGTGTGGAGTGAACATACAGTATGTGTGGAGTGAACATACAGTATGTGTGGAAGCGGTGGGCTGTAACTGCATCACAGACTCTCCACCCTCCCTACCCCGATGTGATGTTACAAAATACACACAAACACATGGCGGATTGACCTGAACTGTGTCGCGTCACACAGAGGATGGTTTGAGTGTCAAAGGAACTATTTTTTTTTTACATAAAATATGTGCTATTTCATTTTGTGATATACTGTACTACTGTATGTATCAATTTTATTATTTTCCTAGAAATTTTCAATCATTTTTATGTACAATATACAATTTGAAATTTGTTCGAATTAGGCTCACCTTTTGCTCACTAAATTGTTTAACTCTGAATCAGATCAATTATACAGAAGTTTTGTGTTAATAAATCAGTCACTTGGCTTTGAAACTGTTTATAACAAACTTACTGTATTATTATTAGTAGTAGGGAAGACAGTACTGTACTGTACTCAATGTTTACTGCCCTGCTGTGTGAACCTGTTGTTCGCCCTCTGTGCTCTGCTGTTATCCCTCGTTTTGCTATAATTTCACTTACTGTAGGTTATCAGGAACACAATCTCATTGTTAAATGAGGGATACCAGTACTGTACATATGGTACTTTCACACTTACTAAGTACAGTATATGTAACTGTAACAACTTTTTATATCTTTACATTGCTTTAACGGTATTTTTGGCTGATCCCTGTACATATGTCCTGGTATAATAATGTACAATACAGTACTGTACTGCACAACAGAGATTGTATGCAAAAACAGCAGTGAGTGAGCAAAGAAGCTTGTACAATCTTACCCAAAAGTTTGTTAACTCTCCCAGCCAGCTATTGCTTCAGATGTATGAACTTGAGTCTGTTACTTCGAACCTTTAGATATATTTGTATCGGTTTCATGTTCTGGTTGGTACTGAAACAGTTTCAAACGTCTGAAGCAGGCAGTGCAACAATAGCTGGCTGGGAGAGTTAACGAACTTTTGGGTGAGACTGTTCAATGGCAGCAGACAATGAACTAAGTATACAGTACTGTATCATGATGCAAGAGTTTGAAGAAATAAGCTGTGAGAGACATCAGCCAATCATAGGCATCCCATGCAGTTACACGGCAGCAATGGCTAATCATATCACAAGCACTCTGAGTCTACCCACCTGCGCATCCTGCATGCAAATCCGTGTCGGAAACATGATGCAATCCTCAGAAATTTGTTCCCATGCCCGGAATGGAGAGATTTTCCCAGAATTTCTTAGAATACTAAAAAAAAAAAAAATAATCAACTAACAGAGAGATTATTGAAATATGGAATGAATGTGGACAGTGATGGAATTAAGATATTTATAACTGGAAGAGGATTTGAAAAGTTAGTAGATTACTGTATAATGTGTTCAAATGGATTTTTTATCGGATATATTTCAGATGCATGATAGATTGGAAGACATGTAAAACTCTTTTCTAATACAGTATGTTATTCTACTCTTCATTGATATTTTAGTTGAGTGTGCCAGTTATAAAATAGCAATATAAATTATTACTACTCAACAGGTGGACCAACAGACTCCTTGGGTTGGTGCAGGTATTGGGCTCATCCTGGGAGTGTTGGTGGTTGTAGGAGATGCAATCATTGCCAAGGAATCAATTCTCACAGTAAGTTAGCTGATATATCTGTTTAGTTGAGACCTCTTCTTGTATTCACAGCAGAATCTTCCTCAATATTTGGGTTACCCCTGTACTGATCCTATACACACACACACGTAGTATTGAAGACTCCATAATAATACTTGAACAATTTGTTAATTAATGTGTAAGTAATGGTATAAATGGCCAGAACAATACCATGCCATTGGTACAAAATAGTTACAAGTAGACCAAGTGGTATGCATGAAATGGGGTCTTGACAAATTGTTCCTTTTTATTTCAGCCTTGATGCACAATTTGGACAATATTTTTCTAAATTGTTCGTGTGTGAACTATTCGTGGTACTGTATTTGTGAATTTTTGCCATTAAAAAGTAAAACGTTTACAGTACAGTGCCTGCAAGTTTAGCAATACAGAAGCTGGAATTTACAAGGAAGGACTGTATGGAGTATGAAAGGCCAGAAATACCCAGATGAAACATAGTAAACAATACACAAGAGTGGATGGAAACACTTGTCTATTTAAAGCTTCTCACATAATTCTCTCAATATTTGTAATTTATTTGTGGATCAAATATGTGATTGATTTACAGTTGGTAGTGTATACTGTGGCTATGCTGCTTTTGATGATAACATTAAAAAACACTATAACACAAAGAGAAATCTAAGTAAGTAGATGTGAAAACCTCAATTCCTCCTTAACTATATGATCCTCTAGTGGATATCATAAACTGCAAAAAGTAATGAGGGAATTTTATCAACAGCTGTAATCAACACAGTCTCCTGCTGTACTTTAGAAAAAAATATGTTTGCACACTGACTTCTGATACGTTTTTGCATTCAGTGTGAAAATTTCTGACTTAAATGTCTTACGGTTGTTTCACGAAACCCATTCATACCATAATTTTTTTATATAATCACATCAAATTATGCACCTAACAACATCATGTGATCCATGTGCAATATTCCCAGATATAAAACAATCATAAAATGGTGAGCAATGGTTGGCTACATGTTTCTATAAGTCATCATCTTCCAAACTTATTGAAGGGGCAGTATTTGTGTTACATAGTGTAACATCACTTTTTGGTGTTAATTAACTGGATGTGGTCATATTCTAACATCATTGAGTCTTAACACCTTTTTTTTCTGTATACAGTACTAGACACTGTGCCTCTGCTTTATTTGTCACGTAATCAGGTCTTTTGTTTGTTTAGGTAATTAAAGAATTTTTTTCTGTATAGGTAAATAAAGTATATAGCAATTTGTTTTTATTTACAGCATCCTGTCCTACAGTCCATGGTAACTATCATGCTCTCTCTCCTGGGCCTGGGGCTCGGCTACTGCTACCGAATGTATATACAAAACCAGCGCAAGTCATTATTAGAACCTCCACTGGACTTTCTAGGTAAGAGCCAGCCAATTTTCTTTGGTTTTTCAGATATTGTGCACTGACCTCGGGTTTACTTTGGTCAGTACTGTTGCTGAGGTAGTTTTTAAGAATGAGTTAAAAATGGTTGAATTTATTGTATTTGTGTGGATGTGTGTGTGGTATTAAATTTTAATTTTATTGATTATTATGAGTAATTGATGAGTATTAATCTGTGTGCTCAGTCCAGTGTACTGTAGTTGAGAAGGCAGTGAGGTTTGTTAACTTGATTCCCTATCTTCTTAGTTAATTAACACCATGTATGTAGTTTATGAACGGTTCGTGTATATAAATTAATTCAGGTTTTCTGTGTTGCACTTTGTTCCTCTCATTAGTTTAAAAAAAAAATGTGAGGATTTAATATTTAATCCTTCAGACTTTCCACCTCTTATAATGTGGGATGGGCAGAAACACACACACAGTCTTACAATCTAGTGTCGTACTTAACCATTGTTTCTGTTTTGGCCTTAGACTTACAGTATTTTCTTCTGCAAATCATCAGCTGAATCTCATTATTCTGATAGGTGTGGAAGATGGTGATACAAGAAATGGAGTCAGTGGAGGAAGAGAAAAGACTAGTGAAGGAGGGGGTGAAGGGGAGGAGCGGCGCCACCACCCAAGATACAACAAGGCCCAGGCCAGACAACGCTACAAGAAGGGCAAGTCATAGAGATGTGCTGAGTCAGCTATAGGTTCTGTTGTACGTAAGTGTAGGAGAGTCATTTTCTTAGAACTGTACTGAAGGTCATACACATTTTTAATAGGTAAGAACTTATACATTTCCACTGTTTCATATCCCAGAAATTGCTAAAGAGTAACTTCAAGAAGCAGAATAAACATTGAGGGCATATTGTTGATGTGAAGTTTGTTAACCATTTTTGTACATATTCTGATCAGTAAATAACCAGAACAAATTTAATCTGCAACCTTGAAGTGATCCTTAGATAACACAAAAATGAAGGAATATGTGATAATGTAGGACTCTTATAAACTTGATAATATGCAAAGAGAGTAGTTTACAACCGGTGCTGCAACTGCCATTTAATGCAGCTGTTTTGGTCGGTTGTGGCATCACCAAGTTGTGAAATAATTATGTTCCTATGGTGTAGTCACTGCTGTATGTTATGGACTTTTTTCCTTGCTCACTACTTTATTACAGATCTGTAGGTTATACACTTTTGAAGTTAGATAGAATATTGTTATCACGTTTAACACGTCTCGGAACTTTGTTATCGTGCACTCGTCATCTTCCCAAGCATGCTTTGATATACTGTACATGTAAAGTGATGAGAGAGGAATTTACATATGCTGAGGTTTTTGGGATGGGAAGCAATTTTATTAAAGGTAGATTTTATATCTTTGGGGTCAGTTTTTTCAAGTCTCATTCTCCACACTTAGTATAAGTTATTGACGGATTTGGTTGAATGACGAGAAAATTCATTGTAGAGGTGTTTCTGAAGTACCCATTCAGTCGTGCCTTGAAATGCAGTACCATACCTTGGTTGACTAGTCCTCATCACCTGTTAGGCAGACTCAACAGTTGTATCAAAAACCTGATCTTTTAGAGTGAGCTTCTTCTCTATTCTTTGTATTTTCTTAAACATATGACCAAAGGCTGCTGGGTCGTATTGGCACCAGTTGGCATAGGTCCTAGTGTTACATAATCTTGGCCATTAGGATTTGGGCTATGTAGATAGTACCCCAGTATCTGAATTGTTAGGTTAGGTTGGGGCCAATTAGGACTAGGCCCAATTTGACCAGTTACTAGATTCATTCATTATTTCTGCTGACAAACTATTGTGCATAAAGCAATGTGAAATTGTAACTTTATGTGGTCATTATGATACGGTATTATGCAAGTCTTTTATACACGAGACCAAGATTGTTCTTGTTTCGTCATAAAGTATGTAACTTCTGTATCTTTTAATTTGTAATTCCTATTGTTGATTAGTATTAATAGTCCTCGTGCAGTTCTACAGAGTTTTCATCTTGATATTCCAACAGTCACACTCTGATTCATTTTCTGGTTTACTTGTCACTTACTGATTCTTTGTGTGACTTTCTGATTCACGACTTAATCACTCTGCTTCACTTTTTTGTGATTCACTCTCTGATCTTCTGTTGATTCAAATTTTTTAATTTTTATCCGGATCAGTTTTCCAGTTCACTTTCCGATTCACCGTCAAATTTGTTTTCTAATTTACTCTAATGTATGACTCCTGTTCTTCTTGTCTCCCTCTTTTATTTACTACCTCTCCTCCACTACTGAGGATGCCATTTTAAACAGTTATTAAGTTTTCTCTGTAAACAATTGTTATTGTTGATATTTATTAGTATAACAACTGTACGCCCCCTAAGTGGATAGGAAAATGCATGTTAGGATCGATCATCTGACATTTTACACTTGTCTCTAGGATTTTCCATTTGATATTACTGTAGTTATAAAGTTTAGTGTATGTGAGGAAAAAATTTGTGAAATGTGGCTGATGTATTGGATAGATGGGACCACATAGATCATGGGAAGGAGAATAGGGATGGTAAGGGAAGCAAGTGGTGATGAGGCAGCCTGGGGGTTCTTCTGTCATGGCCAACCTCCACATCCTCCCACCTCATCAGAGCTCCCTGAAGGTGTGAGGCATCATAGGTGAAAACAAGGTTGAACTAAAATAATAGGCACATGCAGGGCTGGCCTTAGGAGGTGCGGGACCCAATTGGGAACAATTTTGGTGGGCCTCATTTATGGGTCCGTGACACAAAATTAATCAGCTAGTAGTAAGATCCAATCAGCTGTGTTTACACTGACGGAAGGGAAACTCACACCATGAGATGGAAACAAACGTAAATCTGACGACCTCTAGAAACTTTGGTCAGTCACCATGCCAAAGAAAACATTTTTTAACAATGCGGAGTAAACTCAAGGAATCTGAGGCCCTCATGTCGCATGTATTACCAAACCTTAGAGATTTACCCCATTTGGGATAATTTACCCCTATCCCCTGACCCCTTTTGTAAAACTTAAATACTCAAGTCTGAATATAGGCCTACTATTTATTTTGCAACAGAGATGTGCATGTGCATGAAGATGTAATACAGGGGTATTGCAATTTAATCACATGATACTGTTAAAAGAAAATACTATAGGTTTATAGATATTTAAAAGCTGTTACACGTTTATTTACATATTTGTCTTCTTAATTTTTTTCAGAGAAATGATTTTTAATGCTGTTCTGTAATTAACGTTTTATTTAATTCAGTTACAGACAAAAAATTCAAAACATAAACAGTATAAATAAACACTACAGACTTTGTAAAAATTCATAAGAAATTATAATAATTGCTGTTCTCTGTAGAACCTGCAATGTGGTGTTACATATATATTGCAATGATGTGTTGTGTGTACTTGACAAGCCGAGAGTAGATTACTCTAGTGCGGGGCCCCCTTAGGCGCGGGGCCCAATTGGGATCAATTGGTCCAATTGGCTTAAGGCTGGCCCTGGGCACATGTTATTGCCTTAAGACAGAAAAATGCCATAAATGTTGATTACCGGTACAGCCTTGGGGCCAGATTGATTGCTAAATAGTTATACTGTAGTTGAAAATAACTCTTCCCTAACTTGCTGAATAGTTTTGTTTGGAAATAACTTTTAATGTAACTTGAAGAAACAACGGTTAATTTTAGTTTCTATAGTCGATCAGCTTGTTTTGTTTTTTCCTTAATTTCATTATTATCATGTTGCTGTTAATTCTTGTACATTGGTGCTTCTTTGTCAGCTCCTCTCTTTTATTCTTACCACTTGTCTTATTGATGATCCACATTCTAAAATAAAAGAGTAAATGTAATTGGCTGTTAGATAGGTAGATAGAAAATTCCACAGACGGGTGTAGAATAACAGAAAATCCACAATACTGTAGTGACTGTTTTTCTAATGTTGTATTTATAATTCCTTTGATCTGGTTGTAATTTATGGGAATGATTGCATTCGTATCTTATATAAATTATATTGAATTGGTTTTATTTTGTTTCATTTAAATTGTAAAGGTTAATTGTGAGATAATCAACCTGACTTGAAAAATTTACAACAGATTTATTGATAATTGATAAAAAAACTACTTATTGAGTGTTGTTCATCATATCATTGAAAGTTACAAGCACTGATATTGTGAAAATCATGAGAAATAACCACATTTGTTTTTTTCACTCTTACACAGGCACACAGGTGTTATTCTTGTGATAAAGTACAGTATGTATTATTCACTTGAGGATCTGATGTGTGATAAACAGATGAATCTAATAGAACTGTTTAGGTTCATGTAATTTCCACCTTCCTCTTTTATGTCCATCTTGGATTCATGCATGACCTAAACATAGAATTGTAAGAATAGGCTTGGCATAATAAATCATGAAGGCAAAAATCGCTGAACTAAAATATTTATTCCAAGAAAGATTCCTGACCCTCTGAGGTTTATAGGAAACAAATCAATACACCACATACTGTAATCAGACCTCATTCATAAATGTAACATTTCTTAAGGGTGTTGAAGAATTTTAGTTGAAAAAGAAGAAAGAGTTATTGATAAGGAGGTGATAAAAAATAGATGTACTGTGTAGGTAAAAGGATGAGAGATTCTGCCACTATTGTATTGGGATATAACCAACCTTCCCTCACTCAGAAAAAATATCTCTAATAATTTAGCAACCGTAGGGGCTTCTCCTGAATTCCCTCCCATATTGCTTGTGGAGGAACTTTGAAATAATGGGTGTCCGTGTTCATTTTTGTATGGTGACTTTAACTTGTAAACTTAGCATAGATTTATTTTTAAATGTTTAGTTTTGTATTTTAACCTCATTGATTTGTAGACATTCACAGTAAGGTCTCATGAATTTATTACTATAAGCTTTCTGTTATTGTTCTTCAGAGTTAAGATCCTCAAGGTGTCACTGTGCCAGGGGACTACCAGTACATTGAAATATATTCTAGTAAAATAGTTATTATTTACTGCTAGCACCATATTGAGACTCCAGAACTGCTTTTACTTTAATATCATAGAATAGTTCATGTTAAGAGCCTAACTTGTTGGAGGTACAAACACTGTGGCCCTTATGATGTGATCCAATTTTGTATCTTAGTTATATCGGTGGGCTGAATATATATGTGTGGATTTGGCAAGTTATTAAGGTAACTGTGTGAGTATTTGTCTTTTGTTCACTTCACATACAATATTGTGCATAGGCAATTAGACAGGTTGTTATTCATGTACATTCGGGGTTCAGGAATTCATGATACACTCGTGCCGGAGGGTGAGCGAACCGTTCTACCTTTTTCCTCCCCACCAACACAGTGTGGAACTTTTAATGAAGCATAGTGATTCGGGTTAAGACTCGGCACACAAGATAGGGCGAAGGTTATTTATTAACATGAGCCGACGATGTTACTGATGAATGATGAAGAGTGATGCAAATATCATGTTTTCTAAATGAAGTAAACCATATAATTTTCTCTCTCTCTCTCTCAGAATATAATGGGGAAGTTGGATGTGTAACAACATTAGCCAGTAGTCACATAACTTCAAGCTATGGTGAGTGAAGCATCATATTGACATGATAATAACAACATGGCCTTAAACAGTACAGTATAGTCTCGTTTTACGCGGTCAATTAAACCCATGGAGGTCCGCGTAAACGAAATAACAGAACATATGGGATTAACTGAAATAGAGACTGGGCCGATTGCCAGACTACCCTTTTTCCGACACAATATGTACGTTGTAGTAAAAATAACATCTTAATTTTATGATGGTATGCACACACAATTAATATTTAAGAGAAATATCAATAATATTAGGTTTTTTAACACTTACATTAATAGAAGAGATGGCTGGGCACATGGGGATGGGGGGTTCCGAGGCAGAGGGCATATTATTGGCCCTCACCTGTATCACTATCCACCACAGAGGCTAGCAGAGCCTCCTTGTCAAACCCCTCAGAGTCCATATCCTCACTATCATTGACTTGGGCTGGCTGTGGCGGGTGAAGAACTCGGTAATGTTTTGTTGATTGGGCAAGCAAGGTTACATAGACCAATCACAGTTCGCGGCGGAGGAGATGCGTGGGTGGTAAGGATGCGTGGCCCAATCACAGTCCGAAATGTCATCTGTCGTCAGCGGTGACGTAAGAGCGACCTAGCGCGCAGCTTGTCCGCGCCGCTTCACGCGTAAATTCAGGAATGTACCGCGTAACTAATAATTGGTACGTCTGGACAGGTGCCGCGTAAATGACCAATCGCGTATAAAAAATCCGCGTAAACCGAGACTATACTGTATTTGTGTTGTATACACCTGCAAAAACCGACCCATCAATCTTATACGAAATGATCCTCATAATAGACTTCATGTTAGTAATTTACCATAAATATTGCAATAATATATTCTGTTAGTGGAATACTGTACTGGCAATGGATATTATGTCACTTCCCTGTAAAAAGGGTCTTCATTGAACATATAATACTTATGCCAAGCTTTAAAAGTGAATAGTGTATGACTGTTTAATATGGGAGGAATATTACAACAATGGACACCGTCATTCAAGTCAGCTCTTACCCCATGTTATTATTTTTAGTCTGATCTGAAATGTTTGCACAAAATGCAGAAATAGCACAGACTAGTTTCAAACGAGAGAAATGGAGTGTCTTTACATTTGAGGAAAAGGAAATGTGTAATGATTTTATATAGCATTATGTCATTGTAGTGCTTACTCAGAAGTTATGTAATTGGTTATCCGGTAACATCACGGCTGAGTAGATACCTGATCTCGGCAAAATGTATGTTGATGACGAATTAACTGCTCTGACTGCCACTTATATTGTTCTAACCTTTCAAATCCCAGCCAGGGCAACTTACAGTATTTTTATTTTGTTTCTACCTGACTATTCCATATTGTCAATTTTAACATCATTGCTGGACTCCTTACATGTTTTCTTGACTTCCTCTTGCCTGTGTAATATATTTAGTTTCTTACAGTCAAATCTATTCTAGTAATTCATTCACTAACTAAAATTGACATTATAGTAGGGGCCTCTGGTCTGCTTGTGTAGTTTTTGTTACATCAAAATCAAATTTGTCAATGTGGATTTGCACACACATATAGAGAAATGTGGTGGAAGTAATATTTCACACAGCCCGTTGTGTCAACCTACCACACCATACACATGCACATGTTGATTGTCTTGGGGGGGAGGGGAGGGTCATGATGGGGCGTGAAGGGCAATTGTTTATTACCTTGAACCACCACTGTTAAAAGTTTGTAACTCATATTTACCCTACAATATTGTAATTGCAAGTAATGCCTATTGAGTTTTTTTTTTTTGTATAACCTGGATGATTGGTTGCAGGAACAATGAATAAACCTCTTACATTAACCCAAATGGTAATGTCCCTCACAATGGTTGTTAGATCATTTAAGTAATGTGTGTGTTGGTGGGGAGGTTCGGCATAGCGACTCATCATCAACTGTATCATGAATTCCTGACCCCAACTGTACATAATCACTCGATGACATACTTTACTGGTTGAAATTTAAATGACTTAGATGTGATGTTCTCCTGCTCACACTGAGTACAATACAGTACTTCAGATGATATGTAGTGTGGCTTGCATCAGTTTACTGATCATTGCAGCTATGTTTATGGCAGAAACTTATATATTCCACTAAAATTTATGTACAGGGACTCCCCGACTTACAAGCATCCGGACATGTGAACAAAGCTCCACGAGATATTAATATTTTGATACAGGATGTCAACTTACGAGTTATAGAAATTATTGTACAGTTTGTGTCCTGTTATACTTCATGTGTTCAAATATGTGTTGTATAGGTAATATTTGTACGGTACAATATTATGTTACGTATACCATTATGAAAATAAATCACTGTAGGTGCGTACAGTCCATGTTTTTTGCTGAGAACCACATAGGAAACAAGAAAACTTGGAACATAATAGAATCTAGTCTCGTTAAACATACCGAATCTGTCAACATGAATTTGAGTAATGGCATGTATAAATTGGACAATTTTGTGATTAACAAGATTTGTAACCAGGTGAAAGGGTTGGGTCACTACCTAATGACCTGAATATGGTGGACACCTGCTGCCCTTAAGGACTTGATCTCACTCTCCTTGTCAATAATTACTCCTTAGTCTGTACCCACCCCTGAAGATGTGAATTACACGAAAGCGCTTGGGAACTTCTTGTTTTCTATGTGGTTATCAGCACATATACCATTATGTGTAATATATATATATATATATATATATATATATATATATATATATATATATATATATATATATATATATATATATATATATATATATATATATATATATATATATATATATATGTATGTATGTATGTATGTATGTATGTATGTGCAGCATTATCTGTCACTCTTGAGAACTAGCATGCATGGCAGAGCCTGGACAACATCCTCTACTGCAGAAGTTCAATGGCAGTTACTCTTTTGTTACCTTCTTGGCGAGACCAGAGTTAGCTTGTTGATATTAAGTAAGTTAAAACAGACCCAACTCATGGATGACAAGCATAAGAGTGGTGCTTGTGATATGTCGATCAAAGAAAAGCAATAACATTGGAGATGAATATGAACATTATAAAGCATTAAAGGAGAGGTCAAACTCTGACACAGATTGGCCATGTGTTTGGCTGAATAATATTACAAGAAATTGCAAGAATTTTGTTTTCTTTTCTTATTTTGTCATATTGTACAGTAATTCCTTGCTTAAAGTCGTGGTTCCGTTCCTGAAAACCGTGATGTTAACGGAATCAATTTTTCCCATAAGAAATAGATAAAATACAGGAATTACGTTCCCCAGTCTCCCTTTGCCCCATAAAATACATTACATATACAGAAATTCAATAACTTTTTATGGAAAATAGTACAGTATATATATAAATAAACTAAATCAGTTTGTATTGTACTCACTGATGGACAATGGTGGTAGAGCGAGTGTGTTGTGGGTAGTGGAGGAGGAGGGTGGCGAGTCACTGAGACCCGGCGGGTGGCTCCTCCTCCCGGTTTAAAACCTAATTTTTCATAGCAAGGCTAATGGTCTTATATTGCTTCCTGACAACACTAGCTTCAGTAGCTTTTGATGGGCGCTTGGAAGCCATTTCGAATGGTTAGAGTACAGTATTAAGAGGAAAAACACTTAAACACGCACGAACGCTGTAGTAGCTTAAAAAAAATTGGCGACGCTGTGACATTACGCAGGTGAGAGCGTAGTTCGCCAAGATGAGAGAGGGTGATGTACCGTACAAAGTAGTCCGTGACGACTTTATATTGAATCGGTGGGATGTTATCCGAATCATGGGTATCTAAAGAATAGCGACGTTATCGGGGCAACGTTAAACGAGGACTTACTGTATTGCAACAGTATTGTTATCTATTATTCATGACAAATGTATAAGATTTGAACTTGACTCTCTCAGGGTCCCAGCCACTCACCCCACAGCAAGTTACTCACACAGCCTGGTCTAGCATAGTGTATCTTGTCCCCCCACTGCCTGTTGTAGGATGGTTATGAACCAAAATCATACTCAAAACATACGTAAATGAAAACCAAAATTTTGTACAGTACAGTACTGCTTTATATGTGAAAATCATGAAATCTCTGAATGGTTGTATAAATTTCATAAGCAAAGTGCTTATGCAAACCCTGAGAGAGTTATTCAAGGGCTAAATTGGCTTTTGTAGCCTTAGTTAGGGACTTGAATACCATTAAATTTTATAACATTGTGTCTTGAGAAATTGACTTCTGAGTTCCAAACAAATGACTTATGAATGATTACAGTATTTTGGAATGCAACTCATTTGTAACTTGGGGACGCCCTGTATAGAACTACCATATCTGTTTTATGCATATTAAATTTTTGTTCTCTGCATCTTATCCTTACACATAACTACCTGTACATAAGTACAGTACAGTATTACATCAGTTATTCTTTTTGTTGGAAATTTCCTTGTTACTAATTCACAAATGTGTGGTGAGTACAGTATCTTTTCTGACTTGACACTTATTTGCAAACTGATTTGTGGATACATGTGCGATACAAAGTTTATTTTTAATTTTGTGATAAAAGTGCTGAATTTTAGTGTGCTAGACAATTTTTACTGTTGAGAAACTTCTTAGAGGTGAATTTTAGTATGGTAAAGAAGTTAGTGCAAAGTACTATACTTGTAGTAATCAGGGTGCACAGAATGTTATATTATATCTAGTGGTTCTTGGTAGTAATTATCAAGAGGAACTTTCCGTGATTGGCTGGGGGCCAAGATCTTTCATTTCTCCCAGGGCCAGTGACAAGTTTAGGTGAGTAAAAGTACTTGAAATCACAAAAAAATTTTGGTTGGTAAGAGTTATGGGTGCCAGTAACAACTTTTGGTTGCTAAAGGTATGAGATAATACTCGATTTTAAAGACCCATAGTGTTTATATAATTTATTTGTTAATAGCAACAGAGAGTGTTAGAACTGATATCAATACACTCGATGGTGTCCCTAGTTTTGAGGGCCTAGACTCTTAAGAAATGTGTTTACTTGTGTGTGTATAATGGACTGTTCCTAGTAAGGAGAATGACACTTCTGCTTTTTTGGTGGACTTTAGTGTATATAATAATAATATGTCATTCATTCTTAAACAAAAAACTCATCACCAAATGGATTTTATAACTTTTTCAATTAATATCTTGTTATAGAAAATATTATTTGTTATGAAATTGAGGTGGTGTAAACCTCACATATACTAGTAGCAGTACTACTTGTGTTAGTATTCAGTCATGCATGATTGAGAGTTACAGGACCATAAATTGCAGTAAGTGTAGCTTTTATGTACTGTATAAGGCTTATATTACTGCTATGATTGGCTGTTTATTCTTGTAGCTGCCTAACAACTTTTCTCAGTCGTAGCTGTATTTACTCCATTTAATAAGTACAGTATTGTTGCCATCATTCATAGCACATTCCAGCTCAACCATGGACTGTGGAATAGGTTAGTCAGAAGTGTGAGGCCTGGGACCTGCCCAAATGGATCTTGTATAAGTGGGATCATTTGGATGTTGCCATGGAGGAATAGGGGCTTCTTAAAGGTAAGGATAACATTCCATCCATCAAATATTACCATAAATTAGGAACTTGTTGCAAAATACCATTGAATGTAGGACCAAGATTTTGATAAATCTCATGTGTCACCAATCATTAAGGAAATTGGGAATTGCACCCCTGTACAGTAATTTTAAAAATTAAAAAAATTCAAACCATTGTAAGGGACCAGTTGTTTATAAAACTTTTTGCTTATTTTTATTGTGTATAGTATATCAATATAACCAGTGTCCTGTGACTCATGTAGTGCACTATCAGTTTCCTGTAGACAGAAATGTGTTTCTTGTACAGGCAGTCCCCAAATTACGAACACCCAATACTGTACTGTATATTCATCACAAAATTCTGTAACTAAAATCCCATTTTTTGCATTACTTTATAATGTTTAACATCACTTTCTTTACAGTATTTTCATCATTTGTTATTAAGGGATAACCTATGGAATTAACATTGTTCCGACTCATGAACAGGGTCCAGGAACATAACCCGTTTGTAACTCGGAGACCGCCTTTGACTGTACAGTACTGCAAATCTGGCAAATTTTTTACCTCGCACGTAGTTTAGTTAAGTTTCACCTTTCTACATAGACGAAGATTTTAAAGATCTGTAAAAACTGCCATTAATTTTATCTTAATATTTCTTTGATCTCAATTTTTATTAAGGTTTTAATAGGGAAAATTTGTGCCTTGCTCTCAAGTACCATTTACAGTAATTTGTTGCCTATTGACTTTCCTGTTTCATTACTTTAAGGCTTAATAAAGAAATATAGTGCTTTGATACCTTCAGTTTTTTCTTTCAAATACAGTACTGTACTGCACTGTGTTCTGATCTTATTCTGTGGTGTTAAGATGGAAACAACAGAAGTCTTCCAAATTTCATATATTGTGAGTTGTTTTTATGTAGTTTTGACATCTTATTTAAAGTATATTCTATCATGACACCAAAACACTACTGTATTTAAAATCTGAGCTTTTCAATATGTTAACAACCTTTTACAAAAGTTAATCTCTCTGTCAGAAGGTGCATTATGTTTGTAGAATATTTTGAAATGCTGTACATGATTAAGTATTGCAGTTGTTTATATCAATAATTGACTATTTAGGGGTACATCTACAAGTAAGGTACCTGTATCAAGTCAACTTGAAAGAAAATTTTCATTGTGTTTACTGTATTTTATATCATTAACTTTAGTAGTTTATAGATATTGTATGAACCAGCTGATCTTCCCCAAATCCTCCTCCTCTTTAATAATTTTAATAGAGAATTTAATGTTCCAGATGTATAGTCCATTATATGGCTATAAATAACACTTGTGTCTGCTTAACTCATGATGATATGATTTAATACGATTGAAAATAATAAGTGAATAATGTATCCTTACACACGCCGGCATGTAAATGGCAGTAAGATGGTGACACTGTACTTCAAGGCCTACTACTTGAGGCAGTTGATGATGCAGCTGTTGGAGGTGACAGATGGAGAGGGAAAGCCAACCATCAATGAATTCTGGCACAGCTACAACATCAAACACTCCATATAAAATATCAACAAGCCATGGAAGGAGGTCACAGAGCTGCATGAACAGCTTCACAGATGTTGTAGCTGTACACCACGACATCACCAGCATCTCCAAGGAGGTCAGCTTTGAGGAAAATGTGGCAGAGGTCTTGGAGAACTTCTTTGAGGAGCTCAGCACCGAGGACTTGCTGCTCCAATAACAACAGCAAGCAGTAAATGAGTCAGCGGGTGTGGAGGAAAACCCTGCACCCATGACATTGTCTCTGAAGGTGTCGAGCACTGCCATGGACATATGAACACTGCCATGGATCTACTGACTGAGAATGACATCAATTATAACAGTTCTGAGAGCTGTACCTGCAGGAGGAGGAGGCATGCCAGACAACAATCGGCTCCTTTTTCAAGCCCATCACAGCTACAACCCTCTACTTTTGAAGTCCCCAGCCATGCATGGCCCTCCTCAGTCTTATCCAAGTGTTTACACCATCTTTAAGGCCAGGATGAAGGTTACACCTCCAGTCCCTGTTGTCTCTCTACCCTCTTCAGCACTCGGCAGATTGTCATCTCCACTCCACCTCCAAGCGGACATGTGATGATGACCAGACTTGTTATTTTGATGTGGTGAGTGTTGTATAATTGTGTTGTAGTGCTAGTAGTATTCTAGATTTATTTTTCAGTGATACATACGAGTGTCTGACTGGCCTAACCTTTCTATCTCAATGAGCTCCATGTTATAATGAACCTGATTTGCAATATTTTGATTTGTGATTCGGTTTCCAGGAACCTAACCCCATTGCAAATAGAGGTTTTCCTGCAATTCGATTTTTTTTTTCTAATGACCAAGTTCACAAATAAATGTTGCAAAATAAATTAATGTCGTATAAAGTTTGGTGATGATGGGCTCCCAGTGAATTTTTACTCTATCCATTTTAATTTTTCTAGCCCCAATACTCGCCAAATTGTATTTTTCAACGTACAAAAGTGCTAGTTTAAAAAATTACCTTAAATGTGCTTATTTAATTAGTAACAGTATTTGTAAAATGAGATAACTGCAGCAGCTAATATAACTTTTTATTTCATTATATACAGTATACTGTACTGCATAGTCTCATTTCTGACAAGTCAGAAAATTTGATTACTCGGCAAGACCCCGGCCCCATACACGCCGAGTTATGGGGGTTTTACTTATTAATAAAACGTTCAAATTAAACCTGGAGAAAATACTGGGGGTAACAACACATGAAAGATGCTCATTTTACTTTATTGTGTGGTTAATCCATATAAAACGAGTGTTTACTTTTCTTCACTTGGACCTCTGTAATAATCATCTACACTGTATCCAGCATCACATTCACAAGACACTCTGCAGGCATATTAATATCTTGAGCTGCGCCAAGTCATCTTAATCTCCACTTACAATAGTTTGCATGACCCATATACTGTATCATTATAGTAAAATGGAAAGGCATGTTTTTGTGCTCTTAATGAAACCGAGGTAAACTGATTATAGAACCCTGGTAGAAAATTTCAGGTTACCTTAACCTTACAATTTCTAGTTCTTGAAAAATCTTAATACATGAATGACAAGATCAAAACAGTACACATGATGTTAGTCAAAGAACATAACTTTTTCTCAATTTTTCTATCAAATTTGACAATCATGCACTCTGGGTCTTGCCTTCTTGATACAGATAAATGCTTAAGTCCAGATAGGAACTTCATAATACAGTAAAACCTCGATAAAACCAATAAATACTGCTATAGGGTAACATGCATTACTTGTATATGGATTAAATGTTCAAGTCATTGACCATCAGAAGAACATTCCATGTGACCTTTCACTATCATTCAAAATTCTTCCAAATTGGGAGAATTCAGAATCACCTAAAGTAACACTGGATTATTGAGGCTTTGCTGTAGTGGCAGCATCACCATTTCTGAATTACATACAAAGGTTATAACTGAGGTGGAGAAATTATTTGTGTCATTTATAAAGCTTAATAAAATACTTCGGTTTCTGCTTTGAGGCCATAAAAAAATTAAGGTTGAAAAAAAAAAGTGGCATTGTAAGATTTGCACTGTTTATAATGATCAACCTTATTCCATACTCGATTGTGTGGAAAAGGTGTCATAAAACTCCACAGTGCTAGAAATTTGTGGAGATAAAAAAAAAAATTTCCTTTCAAATATATGAGCATGAATATTTCTCAACATGTAGTAGTCCATTTCTTTTCCAACTACTGTACATGTATACATTAAATAAATTTCTGAACATTTACATTACAACAATTGTAATTACCAGTAAATATTTCATGAACCTTTCTCCATTCCCAACTCAATGGGGTGGAACAGGTGCATTCATTCAAAAACTTCCATACCTATCAACCTTGCAGTATATTTTTTGCCACTTGTAAGCAGGAACAGAAGTATATATTTTAAGACATTAAACATGAAACAATCTTCAAGAATATCCAAAACCTTATGCTTTACTCAAAGTATAGTATAAAACCTTGCTGGTGAATTGCCATACATCAATCAATCAATCAAAAAATGGGACTGTAGCAAAATATTCCAGCTACAGGATCTTTTGTAAGTAAACAATATGGTTCAACCATTGGAAAATGAGGCTCATGATGGGATAAAACCATTTTTTTCTCTTTGCTTTGAGCAAACACTACAATCAATAAATCCTTTTATGTATGGGAAGTAATATCAGTTTCTAGTAACTGTTTGCCGTAAATATTCTAACAGGTACAAGACCATATTATAATCTAAGGTCATTAATATACATAACCATATATATATGATATTAATACTATTCATCTAACTATTCATATCAAAGTAACAACAGGCAGTCTGAAGCTGTAATGAACTACGGAGGCAAGAACACTCAGATAATGTGTCACCAGTGGTAATTTTTATATTGTTCTACTTGTGAATGCAAACACTATACACTACAGTCTGTTACAAAAGTTCACTCTTTGAATTTAATCATGAATGCACTTGCATGGTTATCATGAAAGCAGTAAATATTAAACTGCATGGAATTCCTCTGATCTGATTACCTTGCAAAGCATACAGTATCAGCGCACAATAAGCTTATGGCTCTAACCATTGACAGTTTGCCATGGCAGCTGCTAGCTAATGTATTAGTGATGACCAGCTGCTTATAAAAGGAATTACTAATTGCTCATATGCAACTGCATTCACAAGAAATTGGTTCCTCAAACAATGTACTTGAAAAAGATATGCAGAGTTCTGACAACAATATTCAAATGCATCTTTGCTAATAGATGGCAATATACTTGTGTGCGGTACACCTAAATACACTGAATATGCAGCACACAAACTGCCTCGTGTGTTGGAAATGAGGCAACACTGTGGGTTCAGTCACAGGAATGATGACACATACAAAATAGGCTACACATTACCTACAAGTGACTAGGCAACATGTAGGTTTGCCCATAACATGCACACTTATATCTTTAAATGCATACCACAGGAATCTTGGGTGAAGATATACACAAATATTGGTCAGGCAGCCCAACAAACCTTCCTGGGGATATTGTAGAAGTTATGCAAGTCTGCATATTACGTTAGCAATACAAAACCCACAAAAAAATAAGTATAACGAGTGAACACATCTTTGTGTGCATAATAGGACCAAGAGGAGAGTTTATCACTATCCTACATGCCCTGTAGTTTTTTGTGGAAGGCAAAATACATCTAGTTTGTTAAAGGCAATTCTTAAGCAAACAACAATTAGACTTGTACAGATGTCTCAAAACAAAGGGCAAAGGTATGGTTATGAAACAACTTAGATTTACTAGAAAAGTTGATAGATGTCATGCCCCAGGGTCCACACAGCTACTGTACCTTAATGCTAAATTCAGGTACCTTACACTTAGCACAGTTCAGCAATTATATGGATAAAGTATATTTGGAAGCTTCAATGCATTAACGAGTCCAGAGCGTCCAAGTATAAAATAATAATATAAAAAAAACAGTTGTAGGATGCAACAGCATCTTCTGATCATGAAGTTCCCAAACCCAAAGTGCTCTGAATATAAAAGTAACTACAACAAAAGAATTTTTTAGGTAATTGTGAGGCCTTATTTATCCTACAGTTAGTATTATATTCAAAACTACGGATTCTTTAGCTAACAACCATATTGGCAACTTCCGACAACTTATCACAGTTCATGCATTACCCGCGCATGTCAGAACAACAATGCACAAAACATGGACTGGGATGCCTCCCCTTTCTAACACATACTTTGCAATCACACTTTCAGCTGCACTTCAAAATACAGAATCTGTATACAGTAGAATAAACTCTGAATGCAGTTTATAAATCTCACCTAAACAAAGCCAGAACAAACCAACCCAGTTACAGCATTGAAAGCTTACAGTGTATTTGGTAAGCATAATACAAAGATTTGCTTTTCCAAAAAATAAGCTCTTAAAACAGCTGTCTTAAAGGGTAGCAGAAAGTCAATCAAACCTTGTGGGGTTCATGCTTTGAGAGGAGAGCTTCCAGGAGCCTTAGCTTTGCCTTTGCATGTTTGTAATCTAGGTACGTCTGTTCCATGGGTCCTCTGTCTTCTTTCTGTACTTTACGACCCATTTCTCTCTCAAATTTCTCTTCATATTCCCGAAGTGACCGTCTTAATTTCTTCTTTTCTTCACGTGCTTCCTTCTTTCTCTCTCTCAGCTCACCTAGGGGTAGAGCATGGAGATCACCAAGGGCAACTGACCGCTGTCCATCCTTGGGGTCATCCGTTTGAGTCATTGGTGATTGTGGAGGATCAAACACAGGTAGAGAATCAAACCCTGGAGGGGTTGTGGGTGCTGCAGGTAACAGTTTCTCAACTTCATCTCCATGTAAGGAACTGCGATGTTGAGGTGATGCTAGTGTGAAATCCATGGCCACATGTTCAATGATAGGTGGAAGTTCTGCCAGATTTTCCTTCGCTCTCTGGAATATAAAAGCAATTCTAAACATTCCTTCCTGATCACATGTGCATCATTAATTAGTTTTAATACCTGAAGACTCAATATGACAATATTTTAAAAGTACAGCAATTAAAAAAAATAAACAATGATACTTACAGATGAAGATCTCATAACAATCCTCTTAACTTGACGGTAACGGTCATACAGTGGTCGTGCCAGGTCTCTGTCCTCACGAGTTGTGGGTCGGCCATGAACCGATTCATAGTAAAGAAGAGCCTTCTGCAGAGCTGTTTTCTCCTCCTGCATTTCTGTACAGTTCATGTTCTTTAAATCAGCTGGCCGTCCTAAAGCAGACCGCTTCTCTCGTAATCTATCTTCTACATGTCTCAAGGTATCGACAGTACCCGATGAGGAGGCAGTAGGTCTTGCACCAGGGTTGGTAGACTCTTGACACCGGAGAAGTGACAATGGAAATACAGTTGGTACAGACATCATCCCAGCTACATCATCCTTCATTTCTGCAAAGTAAACAAAGTCATTAAATATCTAACATATATGTAATAATCATTATTTAAACCAGACTTTACAAAAATAAGGTATTGTACTGAACATCTGCTTGGTTTACACCATTACAAGAAAGCTCTGAGCACTTATATTTGAATATTTACAAGTACAGTACATACGTTTGAGCTCTTTGCGGGCCTTGCTGAGTTCACTCATGTACTTCTTGATTTCCTTGTGCTTCATCTTCTCACTGTGTGAAGGGCGATATCCAAAGGCGGCTTCAAATTCTTCTTCATAGCGTTTGATCTTTTTCTTAATAGAGTTAATATTCTTCATAAGAATCTTCACTGCACTCTGCCCAGGAGGAGGAGTGTGGTCATCTCGCCCTGGTGGGGCTCCGGTGTCAGTGAAAGCCTGGGAGGCTCTGGGCGACAACATTATATCGTCGTCATCACTGCGATACCAACTGGTCTGCACCGCACTGTCATCATCAAAGCGGCTGTGGAAGAAAAGAATCCACTGTCAGTACAGTAATGTAAAACTATGGATGATAAGACAAATAATGGTACTGTTTATACGTACTCGAAAGTTTCTATAATGTTTCCCGTCAAATGACCCAGAATATCTTGAAAACATCAGACTTTACAGAAAAACATATGTACGCACAAAGGCCACGGAACAAAAATAATCCACACATCTTTTACTGTACCAGTACATTCGAGTATTCATTAGAATTATGTGAATGGATAATACAGGCTGTATATATAATTATATACTGTATATAAATGTTCCAGAAAATAGAACGTGACAATACCTACATTACAAATAAACCAACAAAGAAGACATCTTACCTGTAGCGCGGGGCAGTTCGATGCCAGGAGTCGGAATGGGCAGTGTCGCGCATGCCCCATGAGCCACGGTCACTGGGTACTGGTTCATTGGCATTTACTAATTCACTCAAACCCGATGATGGGCGCTGGAGAAGATGGGAACAAAAAGTTCATTATTAATCTTGAGCAAAATGGAAAACATATGAATAATTAAATACTGTACAGTATTCTACCTGAGCAATCCCATTTAACACTTCAAAGCAGGGATGGAGTATACAGTATTGTATTCTAATATATTACTATTAGAAATTCAAGTTCAGTAGTGCACCTGTATTTGCATTTCGATTCGAATTCTCGGGCAAAGTACTGTGTTCACATTCGTAAGATAATCTGACGAATATTATTTAATTTATTGATAAAAGTAACCATACACTTGGCCGCTGAATTTATTTTGGACGAATGGAGAGGTATTTTTGGATATACAATCAGCTTATTAAATCTGTAAACCAGACCTTTAGTAAATAACATGCAACTCTCATTGCTGTGGTGAGTAGGCTACTGGTGATGCATTTGTATCGGAGAGATGTATGACAGTATGATGCCAAATTGTAGTTTAAAAATTGCTTGAAAAAAAATTTCCAACCTCTATTTGAAATTTGATTTAAATTTTATATCATTCATTAATATTGGCATTTGGAAGGAAAACAATTATTTTGTGTGCCAAACATGTACTATGCATGTACACTCAATAAATTTTTAATTGCTAAATGGCAGCAACACTGCCTGCCTGCAGCCCATCTAGAAGTCATAAGTGTAGAGTAGGTTTAGTATAACTAATAATTATATGTTTGTATTATAACTAATATTAAAGTATAAATAAATATATTTATACAGGGCAGGTTTGATATATTGAAAACCAATCATAAAATCATATATCACACAACAATAAAACGTTAGTTTTATTCATGAATGCGTTCATGAATACTTTCATATGGTATTTAACACAAATCAACCCACCTATTCTCACTTATAATATTTTGGTGAAGTTAGGTTAAATGTGTGTCTAGTCTAATCATGGTCATATCCTTTTATAATTATCAAATGCTCAACAAAATATATATTTTGAACAGATTCTCGCGTGAGACTACAAGCAGCTACCTAACCATACCCATAGATGACACTGTACAGTATATTGTCTCATCTGGGTTTAAAAGAGTTTCGGCCAAAAGCAGAAAGAATTCGTCATTCTGTTGTACATTATCTCAAAAAATATCTGTCCACACTGTATAACACTATAAACCATGGATGATCGACATGTACGTACTGTATTTAATTTTGAGATACTGTACGTCAATGACAACAAAGCAACAGAAAGTTACCTGCTGGGTTGCCCCTAAGCCAAGGTGACAAGGTGTAACATCTGTTGGCACTGGTTCATAACGAGTTGGCTCATCATCTGATGTCAGGGTACTCAGGTAAGAGGGGGTCTTTTCTTCCTCAGCCGACTGGGACTGACTTCCACTGTCCTGTTGGCCATCAACAACTATTAGTACACGTGTCTATCCAATTCATGAACTATTACAGTATTCTTCACTTTTAATTTATCAATAAAAGTTCTCCATTAAGCTTGAGGGGTTATAAAGAACATGCAGGATGAAAGATGGAAATAGTTACTACAGTGACAGAGGTAAAACATCCCTGCTCTCACCCCATGAATTAAAAAATGTTCTCAAGCCTCAGCTATAATATTATAACAGCCAGATAAATACTTATTCCTATACATTACATTAGTGATTTGTGTTTTATTTCAATGTATTGTCACTGCGTTAGGGTTGATGGGGTCGGGTGGATGTACAATGACGATGAGTGAGGTGGTTGGTGTGTGTGTGTGTGTGTGTGTGTAGACGAGGGCTGAGGTGTGTAAGCGTGGAACTTGCGTATGGTTATTCGACATAGCGATAATTATGACTGATGCTGTTAGTTGTGTGGCAATATTTATGTTCCGCTAGAGCAGAGGCAGCAGTGTCACCACCACCGCTACACTGCCTGGGGCACCTCTTACCTCCCACTGGCTGCTGACCGCCCACACCGGCTCTAACTCCAACAACATCTTCCTTTGTACTAGAGAACCTCACAAACTTCAGCGAGGTGTGTTGTCTCCAACACTCATAAAAACTATTATCACAGTCAACAAATTATCACAGATATGTTATCACGATCGGCTCGCACTAAGACCAGCTCAGCGATGGTCTGTTTCCACACAGCAGTATTTCAAACACCTAATTCTCACTTGTACTTGCTTTAATTATGTGGTAATACGTTAGTGCTTGTATATGCAACGGCAATATTTTCAGCCGCACGTCACAGGTGATGCCCGCCGCGTAGAATCAATGTATAACACGTGCGAGGAAGCGCTTATCAGAGCGTTGAGTTTAGCGTCCGTCCAGTACGGGCCGCCGTGAGCTACTGAACGACCCGTGCAGCCCGGGGCCCGGGCCCGAGCAACAGGCGCTTACGTCATCACCACCACTGCCCACATTCCGCCAGCCAGTTGAGCTCTTGCCTCAGGGATACACCTCACACGAATACACACTCAACCACCAACCTCGTTCACACACACTCCTGACCTCTGGGTATATCTCCCTCCCCCGAGACAGATGCGACTAGTAGGGAGGATGTGGTGACGAGGTGAGTGAAGGTGGCAGGAGATTGTCAAGTAGTGTTGCAGGAGACAAATCTGGCAGACCCGTCATGGTCGCTCAAACCATCACCTTTGCCAACTTTTCTACACCCCGCTACTGCCCCCGCTCCCCCATTACCATCTTGGGAATACTAACACCCTCTAAGATGACCTTCTCTGTATCAATAATCTGCAGTGCAACAGTAACCGTTCCATTCTTCAACTCTGTTCTAGATGATTCTATTGCGTGTAGCCATACAGACAAGGGTGGAGGACACACACATCCACAATTAGCTCTGAAGGTGTTCGACTGAGATATGCCAAATATTTATTGTTACCCTACAACAGTCCTCACTACAACAACATAATTTATTCCATCAATTAAACTTTTTGTAGGGCATTATTTGTCATCTTTTAGAGTGGTCAGTAATGTAGATGATGAACCAATAAGCCTTACACTGTATATCGATGACAAGACGGACAGAGACGGGGAGTGACCACGCCCTAACAGGTTATGGCCTGGTGAGCTGATCATTGTTCTGGTGGTGGGGAGATGGGGGGGGGGGGTGACATGATGGTGGTAAGTGGGCTCAAAATTATGGTGTGAGTGACGTAACGTGAGTGAATGAATTGAGTTGAACGAGTTAAATGAGGGAGTTAGAGTGTAAGTGGCAGAGTGAGTGAGTGAGTGAATGCCGAAACTCTACCACAACCTCCTAGCATCACGTCATCTGTTACTCCTCACATGTAGTAAGGCAAGAACACGTCAACCATTAACCCACCACTAGTCCTGTCAACACCTCATGTCCGGACAACTAACAGACCTTCTGCTGCACCTTCTTCACACCCCAGAAGAGTCGGGGATACTAGCAACCTCCTCTACACGTATAACAACAAACAACCACACAGATCTGCGGCATCTTGGGGAGTTTGGGAGCCAGTTTAGGTGAGCAGGTGGCAGGAAACGTCACCACCAGGACCACAACACGGCAGCGCGCGCGCGCACACACACCCCTCTCTCTCTCTCTCTCTCTCTCTCCCTCTCAATACCTATTATCACAAAAGTTACGTAACTAAACACACCTGCTTCTACATCCTGAACACCTTGTTTAAGTTACTCTTCTAAGCATAATTTATAAATCCTTGAATTACAATAACTTCTTCAAACATAATAACATTTGGATATTGTTGTTAAACATACGGAACGAAAGACACAGACTGGTCACGGGGTTATCGTCCAACAGTCTGCAATCTCTGAACCGCCTCGACGTGAATCGTGTGTGTGTGTGTGTAGGGGGGGGAGGGGGGTGTTGATCTCTCCCAGGTGGCCACACGTCATCCACCACATTTATATCACCATAAAACATTAATAAAATCCTGGGATAACCTGATGATTCCCTCAGCTTATTACACCTGAAGATAAACTAACCTAACACTCCCTAGGTAGAGGTTATGGTGGTTAATCTTCAGGTGATCCAAAGCCTATTCTTAATGTGGTACAAGATTCAGCTAGTGTATGGACTCGCAAGTTAATCAAACATCAACACCATCTGAAGACGTCAACAGATGGAGGTAATCAGAACAATTCACGACACAACAGTACTAGCGTGCCTCACATAACCACCATTACAATCCCAGGCGTGGTGGTGGTGGTGACTCGAGAAGTATGAAGCGCGGGGAGCAACACTATTTCATTCTCCCTACATCTGTGTTGGTGAATCGAGCACGTGGGCGGGTTGTGTTTACTACGGGCGGGCGAGCGAGTGTGGGTGTCTGCCAGCTGACCCAACCGCGGAGGGAGGGAGGGAGGGAGGGGGAGGTGGGAAGTGGGAGGGAGAGCTTGCCTCGTCTGGTGATCTGGAGAGACACAGGGATGAAAATAACTCCCGCACTGTCCACTACCACCATGCGCGCGCACACAACAAACACGTACACACACAGTTACAACATGTCCCTCTCTCCAACTCGTTATAAAGGAGAAAAACATTGCATTTTCTCCCTTCGCTTAGATCTGCCAACGTACTGCATCTATTAACATGATCACAAATTGTACTCGTGCAGGTATGTCTTGGGAGTTATATTCACTGGGTGTTAAGACAGGTAAGGAGGGAGGGAGGGGTAGGGAGGAAAGGTGAAGAGGTAGAAAGAGAGACATACAGACATGACAACCTCGACTACAATACCCCCCCCCCCTCCTCTCTCGTTCCTGCTGTCAATCCCCAACACAGTACACGACGGGAAAAAACTGTAGGCCTTGGTGTTGCCAGGGTGGTGGATGACTGACCAGGGCCATCTAGACGCAGACACACACACACACACACACACAAGGAAACCCACCAGGCACCTACCTCCCAACCCACCAAGATGTTCAAGGAAACGTAGAGAGAGAGAGAGAGAGAGAGAGAGAGAGAGAGAGAGAGACTTGTGTGAAAGTCGTCAGCCTCAAGAAAGAAAAGCTTTTATGGTTACAAGTGATTATTATTATTACATCATCACCACCTCCGATGAGAACATCTGGAGGTGATCACTAACCTCCTCCCCCAAGTACCCCTCAGCCCAGCCCACTAGTCCTTTTGAGTACAGACTTTACCTAAATCATCAAGAGTGCGAGTTTTCTAGTCTAAGTGGGAGGAGGGGGGGGGGAGGGCTAACCTAGACCCTGATGTTATATCTAAGTTTGGGACCCGCTAGTCTTAATGGTTAGTTTTAGGGTAGGGCATAGGGTAGGGTCTAGGGTCGAGTAGGATAGGGTCTAGGGTCGAGTAGGATAGGTAGGGTAAGCTTAATTAGGCAAGTTCAAATTTGGTTAGGCTGGTGAACTTAAAAAAAAAAAAAGTCCACTAGCACTGAAGCTCAATATAACTTACATCCCATGAAAATGACCTCATTAGACACGTCCAAGAATCTGCGACACTTGTACATAAAGATATAAAAGACGCCTCATTATAAATCAAAGTTATCTCAGTGTCAGCTGAGGTAGGAGATCCCTGACTGCCACCATCACGAGAGAGAGAGAGACCGCGTTTGTACCTCGTCCTTGTGTGAGTGGAAGAGGAGGAGGGAAGAGGAGGAGGAGAGGCCGTGAGCATACCTCCCTCACCTTCATCCTAGCAGAGGTGGAGGAGGGAAGAGGAGGAGAGGCCGTGAGCATACCTCCCTCACCTTCATCCTAGCAGAAGTGGAGGAGGTGGAGAACAAGCTATCCATTGTTTTCCTTCTCCTTGTCACTAATAGCCAAGGTCGAGGCAGGGGGAGGGGGGGGACGAGATCACAAGGGTCATCATCGTGTCGAAGGTGAACACTGTCAAAACTAATGGACCTAAGAGAAGGCTAAGGTCTACACTGCACTAAGGCTGTTAATACTGTACTAGATAGAGGCGGGGGACACGAAGGTTCACACTATACCAAGACCCTGGGTACCCGACGACCCTCTCACGTACACAGGTCAACACAACACACTTAACTGATGCAGGTTATAAAGAAAAATAAAAACATTTACTGGACTGTGAGTATATAACAGGTGACTTACACAAGGACACGCGGGAGAGGTGGCAGAATCACCACGTGTGTTCAGGGATATACGCCATGTAAGGGTGATTATCCTACCTGTGACTGACACACCTGAGTCACTGTGTGTGTAAGAGGGGGGGATCATGGGAGTAGGAGTTTCTATTTATCTCTTAAAAGAGTACATGTCAAGAATACCTGTTTCACATCTCCCTTGCTAACATCAAAGAACAACACACACACACACACACAACACTCCCACGATGTACAACGCACCCAAGAGAAAGTTTTGGCAGCTCAGTACAGTAATCTCCGGCGAGGGTGACAGTTCTCTTGGTTTTAGAGAGAGAGAGAGAGAGAGAGAGAGAGAGAGAGAGAGAGAGAGAGAGAGAGAGAGAGAGAGAGAGAGAGAGAGAGAGAGAGAGAGAGAGAGAGAGAGAGAGAGAGAGAGAGAGAGAGAGAGAGAGAGAGAGAGAGAGAGAGAGGTGTAAGAAGTGTGTTTGATGACTGGAGGTAACACAGGTGAATCGACAGTAGAGGAATGTGAATATTATCTACCCACACATGGTTATACTTTTCCTACACTCTCCCTTCCCTCACCTACACTCCCACACACCCTTCTCGCCTCCACACACCCTCCCACACACCCACCATAATGATCAACATGACTCTCCAATGATTCACCGAGGCGCGGCATTTACTTAACATGACAGGATAGGTAAAGTTACTCGTTTCAGAGAACTTACGGCATCCCCTCCCTCCTACGGTGGTCTAGATGTCTGCCAGGTGATGCATGAGGGGTATTTTCTCCTCCTCGTCCACATCGTCGTCATCGTCCTCCTCCTGACGGCCACCCACCAGTCAACCAATACCGCAGTTGTGACTCAGCTGCAAATTCTTCCCAGGTGACCACAAAGAAAACATTCCCGTACAGTCTGTCTGTCTGTTTATTTACCGAAAACACGTGAAAACCTGTTTGTGTGAGGACAGTAACGCTCCTCCTTACAGTGAAGTGACGCTGGTGAGGCGTTACTGTACTGAAATATGATTGATTAAGAGAAGTATACAGTGAGAGTTCAACGATATTTACCGACCAACACCACGACGTCACAGCCACTCTTGTACAGTAGTTCATACCGACTGGTCATTTACATCAACTGAACAATACCACACCGCGCCGCCTGGTTTATCAATGTGATGTCTGTCATAGGTTTATCACTTAAACCCCTTACATACGATAGCGGGTTTAAATATAAAGATACCTAACACCACGAGTACGACACCTTAAGCCCCTCTGTAAGATAACAATCGTACCAAAGGAGTTAAGTTATCGTACTGAAGGGGTTACGTCACACTATACTTGATAGGATACGTCAAAGCATTCAAAGGGTTACTTTCAGGGGTTACGTCATCGAACTCGAGGGTTACGTCATCGAACTCAAGGCTTACGTCATTGTACTCCAGGGGTAAATATCTCACACGTACAACATAACAACACCAAGTACATCTCCCTCCTCTTCCCCACCCATTCCCGTCTCACCATTCCCACTCCATTTCCCCTCATTACTCCCTCCCCCTAACCTTTATCTCTTCTTCGTTTCCCCGTCCCCCCCTCCCCATCCCCTGCACTTGGCACACCTCCAAGGGTCGTGAATCACCACTTCTGGACAATTATAATAAGTGATAATAGTGTTGAGTTGAGCTGGCACTGCCCCCCTACCCCTCACACGTCTGCTTCCTACACCTCCTTCCTCCTGTGCTACCCTATCCTCCTTCTACGTTATCTCCCTCCTCCCATACTACCTCCTACCCTATCCTCCTGCAACGTTACCTCCTCCTCCTCACCCTTCTCTTTAGTCTTTTTTGTTTGTATTTCTCTCTACTGCTTCATCATCTTCTTTTTCTCTGTTTTTACCCCCTTCTTCCCTTTTCTTATTCTCCCCCTCCTTCTCCTCCACATCTCCTTTGGTCAACTTTCGCCCCCTCCCTCTCTCCCCGGGTGTGTGTGAGGGAGGGAGATCTATCACTACCCCATCATCATCACTACACAGGGTTAAGACCAGGAACAAATATAAACCCTCTAAACTAGTGTACTTTGTGGGCAGGGGCACCTCACCCCCAGCTGGTTGGTGACACCGCATACCACCACCCTGGCTGCCATCACCACCCTGGGCTAAACTAATCATCTACCACCTATCCGGCCTAAACTATTATTGGTTTTTCACAAGACTCAGAATTGCGTGGAAGAGCCCTCACCTCTTAACTAACTAATAACAATAATCGTACTAATAATGCTAACCGTAATAATAATAATAATTAGTTTTATCTTAATTAATTTCTATACGTTGAAGTTACCGCGTCTACAGCAACACTCGGACGGACGGACGGAGTGAACACACGTGGGCCAACATGTGAGCACGGGGGAAGCCACAAGCCTCCCAGTCGGCAACACTAGGCACCGCCAGGCATCTCCCAGGGCTAATATTGCCAGCCTCCTCAAGTCGCTGCTGCTACATCACCCTCCCTGTTCTATCACCCCCTGACTCTCTCTCACCCCGGCTCGGCACCACAACACTACTTATATCCTCGGTAATATGTCTATGTTGACTTAGCGTGCTATGGTATTGCTGGGGAGGAGGACACTAACCTAACACTTACTTAACCGATCCATCAGGTAGTGTTACGGTGGTTAATCTTCAGGTAAAAAATAAAGGCTAAGGTGCCAATCTTCAAGTGATCAGTAAACACCCACACATACATATCGCCAGGTATCAACGCCCACCTTGGCACTCTACCTGACTCCAGCAGTAAAAAAAAATACGACCGTGGTGGGCGGAGCCAGGTCTCAACTAAATGGTGATGCATGTACCAGGCGCCCGTATACTACACCCACACGCCCACTACACGCCAGGGATACACCTATATCACGCCCACGCTCACACATACCGGTATACAAGTTTCTGCTTCAGGAGGAGGAGGAGACTGCAGCGTCGACCATAAATAATAATCATAACCTGACGACGTAATGAATGTGTCAAGTGTGGAGGCGAGGCGGCGTCCAGAGGTGATGGAGGGAGGGATGGCAGAGTATAGTGACTGAGCAGAGTAAATGATGGTGATGATGATGGCGTGGAAGAGGAGTGTTTGTGATGATGATGGTGGTGTACCTTTGGGCTGTGGCTGTGATGTCGTTTCTTGGTCCTACGTCGGTTGCGGCGGGAAGACTGCGGGTAGGCCCTGTGGAAGGACCTTTCACTAAGGCGTCGTTCTTCGTGTGAGTCGTCGAGGTCGGGCAATGCATGGTGAGTGGTTTCGCTCTCACCACCAGTCTCCCAGTAGTCGTGGGCTGACACACAGCTGCTCTCAGGGCTCTGTGTGACGACAACCAACACCGACCCTCAGTCATAGTGGTCCAAACTACACACACACACAGGTCAAGGCAGTGGTAACCAAAAGGTTCTTAGAAAGTCGAGGAAAAAGGTTTGAAAGTCTAAGGTCAAATTAGATCTCGAGAATTAGGTACAGTACTTCGAGGACGAGAAACGAACTCAGAAAGGTCGAGAATTAGGCTACTTCGAGGACGGGAATAGCCAACAAAAACTAAATACTCGAGAACAGGAATTAGATCTCACGAGGACAGGAAATGAGGCTTCGAGGACAGAATCCCCCAAGACAAGAATATGACTAGCCAGGACAGACAGACAGAGGCTTGGGAGGGATTGGGGAACAGCTGACGAGGATTACAAAACTAGGAAGGATAGAGAGAGAGAAATAATGTATGCATATGTAAATAGGGTGCTAAGGGAAGTTGGGAAGGAGTAGGGGTGATAACTGGTAAGAAAGGGAGAGGAAGAGAGAGAGAGAGACGGATACACACAAGATGAGGCGAAAGAGGAGGAAGTTGACAGAGAAAAAATACAGAAGAATATACAAAACCTCAGAATCGAACGCAACAAAAAAAAAAAACCCAGGTAGGTACACAGTTACTAGGGTTAGGAGGAGTGGGCGACCCTCAACACACCAAGACCTAGTTTACCTGTGTGGTAGGGTCCTCGTCAACAGTGGAGAGTAGGTCCTCGTCAGGTGAAGCGAGAGAGTCGGCCGGGCTGTCCAGAAACTCCTGTACGAGTAGAAAAACACCAAAACTCTTGTCAGTCTACCAGCTGGGTCCTCGACTGGCTGTCAGTATACAAGTAGAGTCAATTTTAAGGCTTGTTAAGGGGATAGTTGGATACCATATACCCTCAGGTAGAATAGGGTTGTTGATATACCTGTACTACTACTACTTACTACTGCTTCTTCTACTACTACTACTACTATTATCCCTAGTGGTCTATTATTACTATTTCTGGTGATGGGGGCAGAGGGGGAGACTACACACAAGACCTCAACCTTCCTGCAGGGTATAATCAAGCATCTCTCTCCACCCTCCCCCCCCCACCCCAACCCCTCCTTGGGACACACACACACACACACACTGATGATCGCGGAGGAGAGACAACCGGACCTTGAATTGTACCGTAAACATAGTGGTGTGTGTGTGTGTGTGTGTGGAAAGAGAAGAGAAGAGACACATACGACACCGGATAGGGCACTCGAGATAACACCTGTACCTCCAGCTATTATTAGGTAAAGGTACCACATCCGCACCACGCCGCTGCCCACCACCACAACAACAGCCTCAACTACGCATATTACCACAGTACCAACCACAACTACGCATATTACCACAGTACCAACCACAACTACGCATATTACCATAACCACAACTACGCATATTACCACAGTACCAACCACAACTATGCATATTACCACAGTACCAACCACAACTACGCATATTACCACAGTACTAACCACAACTACGCATATTACCACAGTACTAACCACAACTACGCATACATCACAACCAGGCATAATAAAACAAAAACCATGACCCAAGCATTTTTAATGAGAGAGAGAGAGAGAGAGAGCACCATCAGTTAGGGCTAGACCATCTTGGCAACCTACCCGCTAGCCAACCTGCCACTCCTCACAGTCCTAAACATGGATCATCAACCTACCTATCATCCCCCCTCATCATACCTCTCACGTAGGATCACCACTAACCCTCATACGGCCACTACTAACCCCCCCCCCCATCCTCCACACACTAGCTCTTTACCTATTCTTTTACGTTAAGACCATCCAAGGCTAGTATCACCATCTATTTAACTTTACATATTTCCTATCCCCCCAAAACAGCCTTATTATCCAACTATCCATGCGTCCCAGGGAGGGGGGTGGGGGATAGGGAAGACCCAGGGTAAAAAAGACATCACTCTACCTATCCTAAACTATCCTCAAAATCCAAACTAACTTATGGTGGAGGACCACATCAACCCACATTCCTATCCCAGAATAACCCACAATCCTATCTCAGAACAATACCACACTCCTATACCCACCAACCCACACCCCTACACCCACATTCCTACCCCAAAACAACCCACACTAACGAGCCACCCAGCAGCTAACCCATCACCTCACACCACCAGGGTCAGAAGGTGTACCAAGTTGCTTGATGGAGCTGACCTGAGAAGCCCCCACCCCCCCCTCTCCTCCTCCCGTCACTGTCAGCGGAACCGACACAAGGATTCACAAGTCTTCAGAAGCGGTGCCAAAGAGTCATTTCGTGGAGTCTGAAGGTTGTCAAGCAGTTTCAAGGGCTGGGTGGGGGGAGGATGGGGGGGGGGATTCTCAAGGGGGGATTCTCAAAGGGGGGGGGTTGAAGGGCTGTGGGGATTCCAAGAGGTTTCAATGGGAGTCTTTTAAGAAGGTTTCATTCATCGGGAGGTTTTCAAGAGGGATTCCAGCTCATTATGACACAGGGATGCCAGACAGGTAGGTGGATTGAGTTGTTGACTGGGACATGACCTGTAGCAACGAGAACTGTGTGGGCTTGTTCATGAAAAAAGGGAGGAACGGAGGGGAAAAGGATGAAAGAGGGAGGATGAAAAAGAGAGGGGGAGGGATGAAAGGAAAGAGAGGGGAGAGATGAAAGGAAAGAGGGGGGGAGGGATGAAGGAGAAGAGGAGGGATGAAAGGAAAGAGAGGGGGAGAGATGAGAGAGAGAAGGGGAAGGATGAAAGGAAAGAGAGGGGAGGATGAGAAAAGGAAAGAGAGAGGAGAGATGAAAGGAAAGAGGGGGGGAGAGAGATGAAAGGAAAGAGGGGGAGGATGAAAGGAAGAAAGGGGAGGGAGGGATGAAAGGAAGAGAGGGGAGATGAAAGGAAAGAGGGGGAGGGATGAAAGGAAAGAGAGGGGGAGGGATGAAAGGAAAGAGGGATGAAAGAATACAGGGGTAGGGGGAGGGATGAAAGGAAAGAGAAAGGAAGGGATGAAAGGGAGTGAAGAAACGAGTGAAAGGAGAGAGGGGAGGTAACTGCGCACATCACCAGCTCCCCAAAGTGCCTACGTGAGGACTAGTTCATCTCACCACACACCAACTGTCCCAATCCCCTCCACTTTACCTCACACAACCACAACACCCGCCACTCGTCTCTCTCTCTCTCTCTCTAACAGATGTGTACGTCTCCGCGACCTTACTCAATACCTCACATAAAATAAAACACTGAGAGGTTCTATATCTCATCTCTACACTACACAGTTCCCGAGATGTAATCAACGCCACGACCTGTTTTGGCTGAGTCGACCACAACATGTACCCCTACCCCCCTGTCTTAGCACCCCTTTACCCCACCCTCCCCCTGCCTCCAGCACCCCTTTACCCCCCCTGTCTCAGCACCCCTCACTCCTGTCTCAGCACCCTTTACCCCCGTCTCAGCACCCCCCCTCCCCCATGTAGCGCCCATTACTGTTGTCTTCCTTAACAATATAACTATCCATGAAGAGGAGGGCGATCCAGCCCCCCTCCCTCTCCTCCCCCCAAAAGGCATCACCCTGGGGGAAGTATACAAAAGGTGACGTCACACCACAACACTACACGTCACCGTCCTAAACTGACTTCTCCTTTTGGGGGGATTGGGGGAAGGGGGTTCCGTCGTCTCTCCCCTCCTCAGGTGGCCACTCAGGCAGGAGACTGAAGGGGGGGAGTGAATGGGGAGGTGCTTAACCTTAATCCCAGAGAGTGGCATAAGACTGTTGACATTAATTTACCCATTTTGGCATTGTCCCCCTCTCGTGTCCATTACCGTCTGTGTTGTAGCCTCCTACTGGCCCCTGTCCCCCCCCTCCCCACGTGCCTCATCTCCTGTTAATATCCCACCTCACCCCCAGGGAAGAACAGGCGAATGTTGTCAAATGTTGTCACGATGTTGTTACAGTCCACAGTGACTTAATTACAACAAAGGAAGAATGTTAGCCATCCAGGGCTTGTGTTGGCCGGAACTCCTCTCCCTCTCCCCCTCTCTCTCTCTCTCTCTCTCTCTCTCTCCCTCTCTCTCTCTCTGGGCAGAGGATATAATACTTACACTAACAGGTCTGGTGTACGCGGGTGCATTAAGTCACAACGAGGGTAAGTGGCACTAAAGCTGCCACTTCCTCCCCGCCTGTGTCTGGGAGGGAGGAGAGATGGGGGGAGGGAGGGAGGGTAGTTGTCACACACAATGGCCCAAACTGGTAACATTTCACTCCGGCTGTCTCGACACTTCACTAGACACTCTCCACCTGACACATGGTGCTGCACGACGCTGTTACCACACAGGAAGACGTGTCGGACCGTGCAGCACTGTTCTCTGGTCGTCGGTACAACACCCAAAAGATAAAACTACACCCAACACCAAGCCCGCTACACCCCAGGACACAAGAGGTAGTAGTTTAGACAATTGGCTGACGAGTCGAGTCATCCATGATAGCTGTAACAACACCACCAGCAGGTACAGTAACGAGTCTCCTGGTGGAGTTAACATTCTCCCCTTCAATAAAAAAATGAGTGTGAGGCGTAACTACACAAGATCGCCATGACGGAGTTTCACCCACTATTAAGAGACAGCATCCACAAACATGACTTATATCCACCATTCTTACATCGCTCTTTAGTGCAGGGTGACTCTCCACTCCTTCACTGCTGTCAGGCATTCCTCCCAGCTGGTGGTGAGCAGGACGAGGTGGCAGCTTGTCCACACCCCCAGCAGGAAGGTCACTGTACTGTACGTGTGGGCGTGTCGTACACAAACCCCTGGAGAGCGAGTTAGCGGGAGGCGACCCCGAGATCACCGAGAGGGTTCACCAGGTGCCCGACCTTCGCTGACTGCCCCCAGTCTTAATGGTTTGGTGACGTTAAGATGGGGCCTGTTAAAGACTGAGCCTCACTTGACCTGTTATCATGCCGGTTCATTCGGGGAGGTACTGCTGCCCACCTCCGCTCCCTCACATTACCACCACCAGGAGAGTAACCACATACACCAGGTCAATGAACCCTACCACGGCGCCTCTCTATTGCCATACCTTCATGAAACACCATTGTGACCATTTCAAACCGTCCGACAAACAACGACCACTTGGCAACCACCACATTACAACCACGACCACACGACGAGAACTACAAGCAAAGACGAGCACTCGAGACCTACCGCAACTAATTACAAACGCACGATAACCACCCAACCACCCACACACAACCCTCGACCGCCAGCCAACAGGACAAATACCGTGGAGGCTCAGGTAGTTCACGGGACGTAAGCGTGACTGATCTTACTGACCTTGAGGTAAAATGACTTTCAATTAAGAGTGTGTGTGTGCGTGTGTGCGTGTGCGTGTGTGTGTGTGTGTGCGTGTGCTTGAAGCCCTTGTGGTGGAATGTGTAGCCATGTGTGAAGACGATGAAGGAGAATGTCCTTCAGGCAAAGTGTGTTTGGAACTCTTGAAGGAGAATGTTTTAGGCAGACGTGTTTGAAACCCACACGTTATGGGGGGTACGAATTTTGGTGATTGGTTCTCGTACACACAGTTAGGTGAGGTGGACTCGGGGTTAGGTTAAGTTAGATTAGGTGAGATGTGTCAGGTAAGTAACATTAGGATCAGTTTACATTAGTCGAGGCAGCTGAGTCAGACACCTGAAATGGGAGGTGTGTGGTGGGAGGGGGGGTAGTTGTGGTGGGCAAAGACCCATCAAAACCCTTCATACCCTCGCGCGTGAATTCTGCAAGAAGCCTCGCCCGGGACAACATCGCCTAGATGAAATATAACTTCACACCAATCATCGCCAGGGACTATACGTTCCTCCACCTACCCTCTGCTGCCACGTCTCCCCCTCTTCCTCCCTCACCTCTGTCCTCACCTCTACCTGCCTCTGTCCTCACCTCTACCCACCTCTTCCCTCACTTCTAGTCCTCTACCTCTCTCTCCCCTCACCCACCTCTCCCCACTACCTACTTCTACCCGTCGTCCCTCCTCTTCCGCCCCTGATACTCCTAAGAACACCTGACTCGGAGGAAGGGCGGGAGGCTACTGAAGAGCATGTATTAATACCAACAGTGCAACTCTTTGTCGTCGAGGTCTTGTGCCACAGAGAAATGATCGTTAATCTGCCAAAGACTTAACAACTTCCCGCCTCTAGTTGGCTCCCTACCAGAGACTAACCAAAAGGTACTGACTGACTGACCTGTAAATGGTTATCAAGGGGGGCGATAAAGACTTCAACCTACACATGTAACAGGATTCTGATCTATAAATGGCTAAAATAATTGAACTCGTCGCTAGTATACATATATGAGAGAGAGAGAGAGAGAGAGAGAGACATTTAACAAGCTTGGGTATGCACATAGTCATTTATAACCAAGAGCTAAGATGCACGATCCACTCCGTAAATAGTTCCTTGTGTAATACGGGTTATAAATATTTCTAGTACACCACGACGAGAGAGATTTACAGCGTTATGGTTACTTTTTTTCCTCTCAACATCTTGCTAATTAATCACTACCTTATTAACCCTTTTGAGGACGATGGTTTAACTTGAGGACGATGGTTTAACTTGATGAGGACGATGGTTTAACTTGATGAGGACGATGGTTTAACTTGATGAGGACGATGGTTTAACTTGATGAGAACGATGGTTTAACTTGATGAGAACGATGGTTTAACTTGATGAGAACGATGGTTTAACTCTTTCTGGACGCTCGTTTTATCCACTCGTCCACAAGGATACTGGCTGATAAGTGGCTTCGGTACAAGCAAACTTCTTTAAACAGCATACAGGAAGGAGAGGGTTACTTAAGAGACTGGGTATTATAGAGCAAAGGTCAGTCGCCGTAGCATCAAGAAGGTCCTGTTATTTGACGCTTTTGGAGGTCATCTTTCACGGAGCCCCTTTATCTAAAATGGTTTCCGCATTCTCTCTCTAACAAGGGTGAAGAGCGTCTTTTAAAGTGTTCGGATACCAACAAAGATTTATCTATATCTGGCTTCGCTCATTAAATAGGTCAAGAAGCAAATAAATGGTCCTTGAATGTCGAGTAGGTCAAGAAATTATGCTAAATAGCCTCCAGTTCTGTGTAAGATGAAGAAACACCCAAAGGGCCTCGCTAAAGTCTCGTGTGGGTGAGATATACGTTTTTTTTAAGGCTTGAGAAACGGCCATCTCTCTCACCCCTCACATTAGGTTTGCGGGGGGGAGGAGGGGGAGGAGGGGGAGGAGGGAGGGAGGAGGAGGGGGGAGTGTGACGGTTTATTATCAACTGTTTATTTATAAACTAAGGCGGGAGGGAGGGAGGGAGGGTGAGTGTGTGAGGAAGGGGTAGGAGAGAGAGAGAGAAGGGGTAGGGGAGGGAGGACGTGTGAGAGAGAGGGAAGGGGTGGGGAGAGAGAGAGAGGAAGGGAGTAAGGAGTGTGTGTGAGAGGAAGGGGGTAAGGGTGTGTGGGAGGAAGGGGAGTGGGGAGTGTGTGTGAGAGGAAGGGAACCAGGGGTGTGTGAGAGGGAAGGGGTGGGAGAGAGAGAGAGAGGAAGGGGTAAGGAGTGTGTGAGAGGAAGGGGGTAAGGAGTGTGTGAGAGGAAGGGGTAGGGAGTGTGTGAGAGGAAGGGGGTAGGGAGAACGTGAGAGAGAGAGTTTATTAATACATTAGGTGGGGAGCGCTCCTCAAAGACAATCAACCTACCCGGGGCGGTGAATGCGGGAGGGACAGAACGAGTCGCGTGCTGAGGGAGGCAGGGCGCTGTAACATTAACCTACACACTCAGATGTCTGGCGGTAGATTTATATAAGCCAACCTGACACCTGGCGGGAGTCATTTGACCTCTCTTACCTGCACAGTGATGAAGAGGTTGGAGTGGGGTGTGTTCTTGTTACAATAGGAAATTGGAGAGGTGTGTTTTTTGTTACAGTGGGGGGGTGGAAGGGCGTGTTCTTGTTACAGTGGTGGGGGGGGGGGTGGAGAGGACGGGTGATACGAGCCCTTGTTTTTGTTCAGTGGTGATGATTCTAGCTATAGTGAAGGAGGGAGGGGATGGTGAAGGGGGGGGTAAGTTATTCCAGACGTTAGGAGACGTTTAGACACAGTGGGGGAGGAGGGACGTCAATGACATCCCCCACCTCCCGGAGCTCCATCAAGTACAACACCACCCACCATCAGGAAGTGTGCGCTGCGTCAGGTGATTTCGTAGTAACTGACGCTAATCTTCGTTCCATGACACATCTCTTCTTCCTCCCCACCCCACAACCTCTGCCACCCAACACACCGCAAACGCATTAATTTCACCTGACAATCCTTCCCTTTCTCCCTTCCCCTTCCTGAAACGTCATCATCTAACACCACCTTGTCCCTCCAGGTATCGCCCCTACCACGGGAGTCACTGGAAGGTGTAGTAGGGTCACCCACATCCCCTCACTGTCCCTAAAGTTAATATCTTAAAAGAAATACACAATAGTACCCCAACATTCACCTAGAGGGAATAACAATACACCCATAACAATTAACTCGCAATCTAAGTCAGAATCTCACCTTGGAGAGTTCCACCACCACTCCCCACCAACACCATTTTAGAATTCAAGAGGGAGCACTCACCTTGAGGTAACACACAGACCTACAATCTAAAATGGACGAGGTGGGGGAGGGAGGGATACTCACCTTGGCGTATGCTGGCACCTTCGGCCTGATGCTATCAAGGTCACCGACGACCTCCTTGTTGGACCTGCAAGATGAAAACACACACATGGTCAGTATACACCAGGATGAAGACAGGCGAGGCTACAAAATTTATATATATCACTTGAACATTAGACATCCCAACTTAATCTCATCTCACCTGGGATTATTGAGTTTGATTAAATAAGGTAATGCTAAAGTATTTAATCAGGCGAGAAAAAAAATGGTCAGTCACGTCGTGTTTGGTATTAAAGCAGTTCTGAAACATGCAAGGGGTGGTTAACCAGTTGTCACAGAGGCTGACTAAACTACCCTACGTGCTACAGACACCAGCTAGGGCAAGATAAAAACAATCAACAATAACAACAATAACAACAATAACAATAACAATAACAATAACAATAACAATAACAACAATAACAATAACAATAACAATAATATTAATAATAATAATAATAATAATAATAATAATAATAATAATAATAATAATAATAATAATAATAATAATAATAATAATAATAATAATAATAATAATAATAACGTATATGGAGCACTAAAGGAGGCGAGAGTAGGATTTAGGGGGATGGGAGGAGGAGGGGGAGGAGGGATGGGGGAGGAGGATGGGGGAGGGAGGGGGATGGGAGGCAGGTGAAGACAGGACAGGATGAAGGCCACATGGGAGGTTAACAAGGATGGGGGGTAAAAAATATGGAAGGTTTATGCAAGGACACGTTGGAGCACTGGACAGGATGAGTAAGAGAAACACAACATGCCAGGCGATGCTACAAGCTGCTGCACATTGCCCACAAAAACACAACCGAGTCTTAATTCTAAAACTGACTATAATTAATACACAAACACGATCCATATTCTGAACGTAATCTTAATAGGTAAACAAACATATCTTTCCTCCACTAAAACTCTTATCATTCGCCGAGGAAGAATCCGGATATGAAGTATCAAACTACAAAAACGCAACAACTGGATCCGGACCAATCTGACTCAAGCTACTGGGATATTGATGACGTCACCGGCTTCTGACAACATCAGCTACTCAATTCGCCGCCGCCGCCTCCTCTTCCTACTACTACTAGAGACCCAATAAGTAGGTTGGGAGGACCCTCTACTGCATCACAGCAGAGGCGGTCTACGCTTGCAAGTACACGGATGTTGCGACACTGAGACTTGAGGGACACGGGGGGGGAGGGGCTGTGTCAAGACAGGGAAGACAAGTGAGATTGAAATGAAAGTTAAGGAGAGTAAGTAAAGAGGGATGACGTCGATGTAAACAATGATTCCTAGTTTAGCTAAGAACCTCTCCTCCTGTTCTCTCGAAAACTAAACCGCTCACAGCGCCCACCCACCCCACACACACAAGAGTCGAAGCTTCTGCATTGTCATTAAATCCGGGTCAGCCAGGAGAAGAGGACACTGAAGTACGTCTGGCACACCTACAGTGCCACCACCATCCCACCGGCACTCATCTACACCTGAAGTGCCACCACTCACCCACCGACACTCATCCTCACCTGAAGTGCCACCACTCACCCACCGACACTCATCCACACCGACAGTGCCACCACCATCCCACCGGCACTCATCCTCACCTGAAGTGCCACCAGTCACCCACCGGCACTCATCCACGCCCTAGAAAGTCAAGAAACACAGCAGCAAACATTAAAGTCAATTGACAAATAAGGCACAGTAGTGTACAGTGGTCAACACAACCCTCTGGGGCTGATGGTGCCACAGGCGTAAGCAGTAAGTGCGCTCTTCTTTGGCGGGATATTCTGGTAATGATAGTGCATGCTGGTGGCGGGATAAGGCAGGCACGTTATACTGTGCGTTGCAAGGCGGGGCAAAGCAGGCACATCATAGTATTGGGTGAGGGCGGGGCAGGGCAAGGCTGGCACGTCATAGTATTGGGTGAGGGCGGGGCAGGGCAAGGCTGGCACGTCATAGTATTGGGTGAGGGTGGGGCGGGGCAAGGCTGGCACGTCATAGTTTTGTTTGGGCGGGACAGGGTAGGTAGGTCACATGATGGTTGTATTGCAGGGGCGGGGCGGGATGGGAGGTACATCCAATAGCGTGGCATCATGCTGGGAGGGGGTAGAGGTCATGCTGGACAGCTGGGTCATGTGGGGGTCGACCCCTCTACCACCACACACAGCTGGTCATATTCTACCTGATCACTTTGGGGTCATGCTCGCCCCCTTCCTTGCCGTCACCGTGTTCTTTGCGTTTCCTGTGAAGGCCGGGCAGGTGGAGGTCGTGACGCGAGGCTGAGGTGGAGGTGTCGTGCTGAGCCTCCCCATGATGAGCCTCCTTGACACTCTCTTGTGTTCGAGGGTCAGGCGGGGAGGGGCGGGGCTGGGCGGTAGCGACGGCAGGGTCACGCGTAGGAGGAGGAGCTTGGGTCACGGGAGGTGGAGCGGCGGGGTCAAAGGTGACGGGTGAGGCCGCGTCGAGGGGAAGGGCGTCGGGATCCTTGTCGGTGCCGCCCCCCGGGATGGTGGACGTGGAGCCCCAGGCACCCACACATAGGCTGCTCCGACTGCTGCTGCTGCCCACCTCACCCAGCCTGCAGGAACACCACGCTGTGTCACCCTCGCTACATACACAACACTTGCTACACCCTGTGTGTCACCTTCACTACACACACAACACTTGCTACACCCTGTGTGTCAACCTCACTACACACACAACACTTGCTACACCCTGTATGTCACCCTCACTACACACACAACACTTGCTACACCCTGTATGTCACCCTCACTACATACACAACACTTGCTACACATTGTATGTCACCCTCACTACACACACAACACTTGCTACACCCTGCATGTCAACCTCACTATACAAAATAAACTCCTAGCACATAAAGTGGGTCCCATAGGCATGACTACCCGTCAGGGACAGTGTGGATACAGCACACTATATACTAAGCCTTCGGTACACAATGAGGCAGCATGGCCGGTAAACTTAGGTACTCATTTACAGCTGGGTGAACTGGGAGTGCCTAGATATCGAACACCGATTCCCACGTTCCACCGAGCACATAAATACACCCTTAAAAACATACAACCTTACTACACCTCGCATTACACATGAAACAAAGTCTTCACGCCTCACTCCACACAATACACACCCCAGGTCATAATTACACCTCATAAGTCATCCTAGATACACCCAGCATCCACTCCTCAACCACACCAGGTTCAGTGTGGTGTCATGTAGCGCCGCCACCAACCTTGAATAATGACACACCAGCCACTCGTGCTGTGATCGTCTCCCCCCTTCCTCCTCCCTCTTCACCAACCCAAAACACCTGTCATAAAACACGTGATAAAAGCTATTGCAATACACCTGTGAGAAGACGAAGGGGGAGTAGAAAGAGTGGTGGGGAGAATGAGATGAGGAGGATAGGTTAAGCCCCCCACACACACACACAGCTGGGGTCAACATAACTAAGGCAGGTGTTACTGTTATAGCATACCAGGTGACCTTTATACTTCGTGTCCCAACAGCTCAGGTGTTCACTAGCATACCCCCGATGACACAATAATAATTCATGATTATATTGATACTTTCTCTCCTTTTGTAATCATTTTCATTGCGATTATTTTTATCATTATAGTTATTTACTCCCACCATCTTTATCCTCTCCCCTCCTCCCACCACACTCTTGTACCTTCACTTCCTCTACAGGTTAGGTTCAGGCTGGGCAGGGATCGATGGGTAAGGGTCATGAACACACACACACACACACACACACACACACACACACACACACACACACACACACGGAGGGAGAAACGGCGTGAGGTGTGGGCAGACCAACATCTCTCTCTCTCTCCCTCTCTCTCTCTCTCTCTCTCTCTCTCTCTCTCTCTCTCTCTCGTGTCTCCTATTGAACTCTCTCTCAATTAAGGTAGATAGACAACCGGTTAGACGTACAGAAGTGTTTAATTACAAGGAATCCTCTCTCTCTCTCTCTCTCTCTCTCTCTCTCTCTCTCTCTCTCTCTCTCTCTCTCTCTCTCTCTCTCGTGTCTCTACGTGAATCTCTCTCAATTAAGGTAGATAGACAACCGGTTAGACGTACAGAAGTGTTTAGTTACAAGGAATGCTCTCTCTCTCTCTCTCTCTCTCTCGACAAAAACTCCCCCGTCTCATTCTACCAGTTTTCTCCTTCCACACAAACCTATCGTTATGACGTCAATCGTAACCCTTGATCTAAGGCTGTTGAGACCTCCCCCCACCTTATAAACACCATTACACAAGGACAACAACCTTAACCCCCCCCAACACACCCTCCAAAGTCCTCAGATATTCTAATCCATTTATTTATTTACGCGATCTCAAAAATATTACTAAGTTAATGTTTTCTTTATCTCCTGCTGTCCATCCCGTCATTGGTAAGTATGGTGGAGAAACAGTGCTGAGACTGTACTTAGTGGTGGTGGTTAGCAGTAGTGATGGTGGTTAGCAGTGAGTGATGGTGGTGGTGGTAGTTACAGAGTGGTGGTGGTGGTGTGGTGGTTAGCAGTGAGTGGTGGTGGTGGTAGTTAGCGTGAGTGGTGGTGGTGGTAGTTAGCAGTGAGTGGTGGTGGTAGTTAGCAGTGAGTGGTGGTGGTGGTAGTTAGCAGTGAGTGGTGGTGGTGGTAGTTAGCAGTGAGTGGTGGTGGTGGTAGTTAGCAGTAGTGGTGGTGGTGGGATAGTTAGCAGTGGTGGTGGTGGTGGTGGTAGTAGTAGTTAGCAGTGAGTGGTGGTGGTAGGACAATAACCAGGTTACCATATGTGCCCATCTACCACTCAACCACCATCTCAGCTGTTATACTTGGCATGGGGCATCACATACCTTAGCCAACCCACACACCACCACTACTACCACCCACCATCACCACCACCACTACTACTACCACCATCACTTCTACCACCACCACCACTTCTACCACAACCACCATCATTACCCCACCATCACTTCTACCACCACCACCACAATAACCCTCCATGTTACCAACAGGAACAAGTCACTGAAAAA